ACATATTATGGGATAAATTTCAAAATTTTAAGTAAAAATTTTCATTATAATTTGATTTAAAAGATTAAAAAAAGTCTATCTTTATAGAAGAAAATTTTAAAACCAGAAAATTAAAATTAAATAAAAAAGTCGACCTAAATTAGTTTCATTTATATTTTATTTTATGTTTAAGTGGAATCATATGGTATAATTTTATGATTAATTGGGACGGAATTTGAATTAAAAATGGAATGACATGGACTTATACTTTTCATCAACCTATTAAATTGTAAAAAGTGAGACTCTCAACTTTGTCTCATTTCTCTAAACTATTTGGAAATGATGGAAGCTCTTTTGGTGCAAATTCCATTAATGAGCTATTTGTCCTTTTCATCATTCATTCATGCATCACAAAGAAAAGACATAAACATGAGAGAAAAAAAAAACAAATCCTAAAAGAAAAAATTAGCACCACAAGCAAAAGACTGGGTAAAACAACTTCACCCATCGCAATCAGCAACACTAACTCGAAAGTATTTCCACTTGGCTAAAGTGAAATGGCAATTTCACAATTAAAATACACATTTATATAGTAAGTAAATAGTTTAGTTGCTTTAACTTATTGTATCAATTCAATTCTTAATTATGCGACTGTAGTCAGGTTTTAATTATATGAATTTGGTATTTTAAATATAAAAAATGTCACTTTCGTCTCTAAATTTTAATTGTAATAGTTATATGTTTCTCATAATTTAATTTTTTTTTTTAATTTGAATTTACTAATGTGGTTTTATGGATAACGAGTTTGAGATTAAAGTTTACTCCTTTGAAAATTAGAATATTATTAATAAGGACGTGAATAAGAGATAAAAGATTATTAGTTATTTATAATAAAAATGAGTCATTGGCAAAGTCAATGGTAGTCCACGTCAATAAAACGGTATAAAAACTTATATATTTAATTAAAGGATTTAATTAACAATTAAAATCTAGCAAACTAAAATTGTATATTCAGACAATTTGAGCAATTAATTGACACAATTAGAATATATAAGAGTAAATTGTAACACTTGGATTAGTAGAACATTTTACTAAGTATCTTATCTTTTGATTCTAAGAATAAGACTACATGCATAAGGTTACATAAATATATTACAATATTTCTTAAAAGTAAAAGTATTTCCATATGTGGGAATTATAAAAAATAAGAGAAATATCATGTAATACAAAACGAGTTATACAATATAGTCGTCTACATCTACTTTATTTCCGAGCCGGATCATTGCTAGGTTCCTCACTTATAATATATTTTGCTCCCTATAACTTACTGTTATAGTAGAAAGAAAAGAATACAATCACAAAATAAGGATAAGTTAGTATATTTATAAAGAAGAATGATTTATAGTTTAAATTAAATAGTTAAATCAAGAGCAATCACCAACAAATATTTCCATTCCAATCATACGTTATCATTTAGAACATTATAACCACTGAAAGATTTTCGTGTATTGTGTCAGACATCATAGATTATGCATCATAAGGATCACAATAACATTTTAATTTATAATTCAAGGAGTTGTCATATTATTTAAGAAAACGAGTTATTAATCCAAGACTAAAGAAAATTTGATTCAAAAACTTTTTAAAACTAGTTTCGTTTAATAGCTGAAATACAACGTGTGATATTGTCGTCTAATACATATTATTTCACCTATAGAAAAGTAAAAGCTTTTAACAAAAAGAAAGATAGTTAAATATCCTTAAAAAAAAAGTGAATGTTTATGCTGGAATAGAACAAGGATAATTCCTGATACTTTTGACTTGGACGAACGTGTATTTCTTTTTTGTTCTAAGTGATCGTTCGGTTTGAGAGGTTGACTCAGACGTGATACTTTTGATTTGGACGAACGTGTACTTCCTCTCTGTTCTAAGTAATTGTTCGATTTGAGGGGTTGACTCAGACGCTTAAGTCAGAATTTTTTTATGGAGGGTTGAAGTAATTCAATTATTAAAAAGTAAGTTTTACCTCAAAATTAAACTCATATTTATAAAGTTTACAATAATCTAACCAATTAATTTACCTCTTAATGATCATTAATGTTAGTCTTAATCAGACAATTTTGTTTAACTATTGTTGTGACCGGCTATGAAGTCCATTTCCATGTCTCGGCCGTTTAGTCCATTCTACTCAGCACAACATCATACCTGATCAGTCGGGTCTAACCCTACAGTAACAGTGAACATTTAAATTTGTTTACAGAAAAATGTTTAACATCTAAAACAAGTAGATTTTTATTCGTTCCATCTTCATGGATAACTTTTCTTTTATCATTTTAAAAATTGAATCTATTATTTTATTCTTTGTCATTTTTATCACTTTTTAAGTTATTAATTGGATTGTGTCTAGCAAAGACATTATTATGCATAAAATCATTATTAATTAATAAAATCACAGATTAAATATATTTTTGTCTTTTAATTTTAGGTAAAAATTAAAATTAATTTTTCTTTTAAACTTTAAACTAATTTAATCCTTTATTTTTAGAACTATGTGAATTTAAATTCTTTTAACCAAATTTTGTTAAGTTTATTTTAGGTTTCTTAACTATCATTAAAGAAAGAAAAAATGTCAAACAATAAACAACTTCAATACTATCATAAATAATCTTAACAAAATTTAGTTAAAATAATTAAATTCATACATTTTTTAAGTTAAGAGACTAAATTAAATCAAAATTTTGAAAAGAGAATAATTCCAAATTTTATTAAAAATTAAGGTATGAGAAACATATTTAACTTTTAAAATTACTAGACGAAACCAGTATTATATTTAAAATATATATATCAAATCATAAATGTAAAAGCTCATCTAACATTTGATTGATATATTAATTAAAATATATTTAAACTGTTAGCCTCGATAAAATTAAGATAGTATATTTTCTAGTTTATGAAATATGTATTTCTTGTATATTTTCTATAGAACGATACGTGCTTTTAAAGTTATATTTACATTTTTTTCATTTTATTTAAAAATAATATACTGGAAAAAATTTAAATAAAAGCTATGAAAATTAAAAATTATAAAATGTATGATTCAATTTATCAGTTTTTATGTGAGGCTTAAAATAAAAACTATAATGATCTTCCCTTCTGCATCATCTTAAATAAGAAAATCATATACAATAAATAAGAATAATAATAAAATATATATCTACAAAACCCATTTATATAATAAAATTTGTTTTTACTTTTATATTATAAATTTGTACCTATATATGTAATAAGATTTTCAATCAAACTGAGATTTTTTTAATATTTTTCTTATAATGAGATATTTATAAATGAATTAAATAAATAATAAATTTTATTATGATAAATTTTTAAATACCGTAATCTTAGATTTTATTTTAAAAGTGTAATTCATTCTTATATGTAATATAGAATTTATTTTTACCTATATATAGTATAAATTTATCTTTCTATACACCAAAGAAAAATAATTTACTTAAAAAAAATTGAGTTGAGTTATGGATACGTACCGTGTTGACTTGTAAAAGATTTTTTTGCAAGATTGACTTGCATTTGATTGTACTCGTTACCATTAATTAAATAATAAATTTGATTTGATACAACTTCTGTTGACTTGATCTACTCCTTCTACCAAACCACAGAAGTCACCGAAATTCATTCTATTATGTTGAAATACACATTAATTACATTATAAGAATTATAAAAAAATCCAATACTTAATATAGTTCTTTTACTTTTTTAATATACTTCTTTTATTATATAAAACTGTCTTTTTCTGTATTTCTCCCATTAAATATACCTAATTAAAAATATATATTTTGATAATTCTCAGTCAAAATTCATAAAATATATCCAGAAATTTGATGTATTTAATTTAGTTAACTTATATCGTCACTTAATAAAAATTATTAGTATTTAATTTATAAGTCCGGAAAATGCAATAAATTGAAATTGAGAAAAATATACGCCTATTAAAGATTTGCCAAACTAATAAAAGAGAAGAGTTTTTATATTCAATGATCTTATTTATTAAAAATAGTTAGCGTATAAGTTATCACTATTAGAAATTTTCTTATTTTTTTGAATTTTTTCATAAATATTTAGTGGAATTTTATAAAATTCACAAAAATTGGTAAATAAATTTTTCATAGGAAATTTTCTAAAATCTATATAAAAAATTTGTACGAAAAGATATTTATAAAATTTTGGACCCTATGATACATCTTGATCATGCAATCACTACAAGTTTTGGAATGGTATAATACTTACGAATCTAAGATGATAAATTATGGCTTTTAACTAAAGATCAAGTTGATCTTTAACTATCATTAGTCAATAATGTTAAACAAAGAAGATTTGACATTCAAGCACTCAACAATGTTAATAACGAAGGAAGTATGACGATTTTTATTTATAATAAAGTCAAGAATTTAAAATTGTAACTTTAAATAAGATTTCACTTAATCAAAGGAGCAATACGTGAAATATTTTATTCTGGTCGATATTTTTTCATAATATTTTTTAACACACACACACATATATGTATGTATAATTTGTATTGAGTTAATAATGTATTTATCTTCATTTATACAAGAGTATTTAGTAATTTTATTTTTACTAACTATATATATTATGAGTGTCTCTAAAACAACTCAAAGGAAAGTTGCATTAACTCAACTATATAATACAAAAAAATTATGTATGCAGTTTCTACTCTCTATAATCATATACACCAGGGACACATTAATATAATTTGTTTAGTTAAAAAATTTACAATAATTATTATAATGATCCAATTTTAACTAGATAGCAACACTAATAAATAAGAAATGGTAAACAAGTTGTGATTTACTTTTATTAAATAAATAAAAACCTAACTTACTGATTAAATTAAATTGAATTAATGAAGATAATAAGGGACCCATATTTTACGTGTTGAGGCATCCCCAAAGGGACACAAAAAACAGTTGAAACTTTTGCCTACCTCTGTTTGTGTCAAACACCATAAACCATACATAAACCATATCTTCTTTGCCACTCAACATTTTTCATCAAACATAAAGATTGAGGAACACAACAAAATTTAAGGAAAACTAAGCTACATAATTTTCCACCACACACAGTAAAGTGTTAGCTTGAACAAGTCATGGGTTGCTGTGGGTGTGTGAGTTTGGCATGGGTGATGTTAGTGGTGCTGTTGGGTTTGGCTTCAGAGAGTTGTTATGGTTTGGACACATTTGGGTTTGACATACACCACAGGCTCTCGGATCCGGTTAAGGGGATTCTGGGCATTGTTGATGATCTTCCTCAGAAGGGAACTCCTCAATACTATGCTGCTATGACCCACAGAGATCGCATATTCCGGGGCCGGAGACTCGCCGCCGATCCTCTTACGCCGCTCACTTTCGCCGCCGGCAATGACACTTACCGGATTCCCGCCTTTGGATTGTATGACAATTCTTCACCCCCACTAGTCAATTTTTTAACTTGTATTGCTTTCAAAAAGTTAAGTTTTCTGGGTCAGTTTGTCAGAATTCTGCCTCAAATTATGACCCTGGAAGAATAATTGTGCTGGAAAGTGTAGATGTAATTTTTTTTGCTTGAAAAGTTCTGGCACTTTATGTATTTTAGATTGAACTCTGATGCCAAAGGGTTTGTCAGTTAAAGAAAAAGGTTTGGTTTAGTTGTTATTTTGATACTTGTTCACATTTTACCTTTTTAAGAATCGCTCAATCTATATGTAATAATAGTAAGTTTTAATATCTGAACGAGCAAGTTTTATTGCGTTTTGGTTTCTTAACTGTTGAATTTAATGCTCTTTTTCTGGAAACAGTTGATAACAGAGATTAAAACTGAGTAAATTTGTTCATCCAAACACTAAAATTTCACATTTTACGTAATTTCTATGTTGCTGTCTGTGTACTGATAATATTTCCTCGTTATTTGCATTTCAGTTTGCATTTTGCAAATGTTTCGGTTGGGACACCACCTTTATGGTTTCTGGTGGCGTTGGATACCGGCAGTGACTTGTTTTGGTTACCTTGTAATTGTACCAGGTGTGTGCCCGATTTGATATCAAGAGGAAAGGTATTTAAATCTGTCTACCCTAAGCGTTTCTGTTTGATTTTTCATGATCATTCTTGATTAAATGGATTCACTTTTCCTTTCTCTGCGGTTTCTTTATGAGTCTTGAACAAAACTCATGTATTTTTCATACTCAACCATCGTCATCATCACCATTCTTTTTCCTTCTTTAAATTGGCAGATAATTAAACTTAATACCTATAATCTTGATAAGTCATCGACAAGCAACATAGTTCCATGCACCAATAGCAGCTATTGTACACAGAAACAACAGTGTCCTTCACCTGGCAGCAGCTGTCGATATAGAGTTGACTATCTTTCAAACGATACTTCATCTAGGGGAATCTTGGTAGAGGACGTGTTGCACTTAATCACAGATGATGATATAGCAGATGCTGCTGACACAAGAATTATTTTTGGGTAAAATACTGAACATCTAACTGAAAATACTTACTCAGTGTGTTTACATTTGAAGGTTCAATAAACTCTAGGCCAAACCCTTCACTGTGATTCTTGAACTAACATTTAAATATGGTTGCTTCTTTGAAACTGTTTTGATTCTTGGTATTAATTAATCTGTTGCAGTTGTGGCCAAGTTCAAACTGGTGCGTTTAAAAACGGGGGAACTCCAAATGGCCTATTTGGACTTGGAATGGATAATAGATCCATTCATAGCATCCTAGCCAAAGAAGGGCTCATCTCAAATTCCTTTTCAATGTGTTTTGGATCTGATGGTGTTGGAAGAATCACGTTTGGTGATACTGGCAAGACAGACCAAAAAAAAACACCATTCAACCTTGACAAATTGCAGTAAGTGGAAGTTTGGACTCTTTACAACAGAAGCAACAAAAATTCTTGTGTCTAACTGTGTACTGGTGCTTAATTAATCCCTGCAGTCCAACTTATAACATCAGCATAACCCAAATTTTTGTGGAAGATCTTGTTGCTGATGTTGAATTTCATGAAATATTTGAATCTGGTACCTCGTTTACATACATAAGTGATCCAGCTTATACACGACTTGGTGAGATGGTAAGTAATCTACTATGCAACAGTTTATTAAGGATTAATGAGTTTCAAGCCATAAGCTGTGAAAAATTTATTTGCAGTTCAATTCACGGATCAAAGCAAATCGGCATTCATTTCAATCAACTGAATCTGTTGTCCCTTTTGAGTACTGTTATAACATAAGGTGATATTGGGTTGAGAGCAAACATTAACATAATTTTGTTTTTGAATAATCTATCAGAAACTGATTTCCACTTTACCTGCAGTCTAAATCAGACAGTCTCAGTTCCTTCTGTGAATCTAACGATGAAAGGTGGAGATGATTATTATGTCACGGATCCCATAGTAATAATTCTTAGTGAGGTGGGAGCACAAAATATTTTTCCAATTTCATGCTTTCTAATCATTCTCAACCTTCTTAATCTCATTTCCTTTCTCTGACATGCAGAAGGAAGGAAACTTTCTTTGTTTGGGAATCCAAAAGAGCAACAGCATCAATATCATTGGACGTAAGTATTTAACTCAATCATTTTTTTCTTCAAAGAATTTTCATCTTCAAATTTTCCATTCGGAATAATCAATTATCGTCCCTTTATTGATATAACACCTACAATTAAGACCATTCATTTAACAGATTGGAACAGTTTATTTTGGTTCATACACAACTTCGTTTTCCTGTCCCTCAAACATTTTACATATGGTCCTCCATAAATATTTTTTTGGGGTTCTGGTCCTCAATAAATATTTATTTTTGTTTTGATTCATTTGCATCTATCTATGAAGTAACAAGGCTGACTAGGATTGGCATAAAATTTGTATTGTTATTTGGTGTCCTGTAGTGTTTTTATTTCTAATTTTCTCCTATAGGTCATTGGTGAGTTATCCATTAACTGATCAACACTTACATACTTTTTTCTTTTTCTTTTAGTGTTTTCTATTCGACAATGATATAAAAGAAATGAAGAATTCCAAAACAAAACAAAACAAAAAAATCCTATATTTATTGATATTTATACACTTTCAGTTTCATCGTTGAATAATGGAGATTAAAAGAAATAAGAAATGCAACCCCTAATCAAAGAGAAGAGAACAGAGTGTTTTCACTACATTAATACATTTTTTTCTTTTAAAAATTATATGTATCATCTTGATAATTCACATGGTCATTTAAAAGATAACTCAATACTTAAAAGATGTTATTAAACTTAGAAACCAAAATAAAAATATATATTTCATGGGGTCAAAAATGAAAAAAAAAAATCGAGAACCAAAACAAAATGTAAAATTTTATTGGACACCAAATCAAAAATAAGAAATTTATTTAGGATTAAAACCAAAAAAAGATTATTGAGAAGTGTGATGAAAAAAAAAGTTATTAAAATTTATGTATAACTATGTCACAAAATTAAAAAGTAAAGTGTCACAGTAAGTGTATTTTATTAGATATTTTTCAAAATAGGTAATATTAATGTAAGTGTATTATATATCATGTGAAATCATATTCTTTAAGTCAAAAGAATATGATTAGCAATTAATAATTGAAAATTGAAAATTTTGAAAATAAAACAAAACACCAAGTTGGTTTCAGATCACACGAATCCCTAATCCATCCTCAAAAACGAATTCTAACTTGTAAAACTCCATGCATGGGTTAGTGAAACGGGACATGTCATGAGTATCGCAAGTTACAACTACAGCATAATTCTATTTAGTTTCTGCAAATCATAAATCAAGGTTTAGACCAAACATCAACGTTTTTGCTGAACCATGCATACAAACTTGCAACACTGATTGTATTTTTATATTACTGCAGAGAACTTCATGACTGGTTACAACATAGTTTTCGATCGTGAGAACATGAATCTTGGATGGAAAGAAACTAATTGTGAGTATATTTCATCTCTTCAACGTTTCAATTTATTGGTCTTCCACATTGCACTGTTGTTAAACAATGCTATCTGGTATTGTCAGGTTATGATGATGTGCTCTCAAATACACCACCAATTAACCCATCGTCTTCTCCTGCTGTTTCCCCTGCGGTCCCTCCTGCAACCGCTGTCAATCCCGTGGCTACATCCAGTCCCTCTATTAAACCACCTAATCCATCATTCATCATTAAACCTACTTTTACATTTATTTTCCTCCTATTTCCACTTTTAGCCATTTTTTGACCAATCAAGTGTTCTTCAAAATAGTAGCTTTTTTCCATTTTAGTTTACCACACCAGAACCATTTTTGCTTTCCTTTTTTCCAATTATAATGGTCTTTGATGGGCTTGTATATAAGAACCCAGTATAGATGTAAACTTGGGAAAATTCAGTCATACGTTACTACATATACTTGATCTAGTGGATAAAATTGCTCCAGAAATACGACTTAGACTCGATATGTGCAGACTTTACGAGATAATTAATTATTGTAGAAAAGACCAGAGGTGAAAACTCTTACGGGTTAATTTGCATGGGAATGCAATCAAATCTAGATTGACAACATACAGCTATAAATGCTAATAAATGCTAACACCACCAAATGGATGCGTTTTCCAAAACTAATCATCAAACTCATTATAATTTATACCGTTCTACATGTAGTTTGGACCAAAATATTAATGAAGCATTCTAATTATGTGGATTCAAAATTTCAAATGGGTGATTTGGACAGGAAAACTTTCACGTCTTGGAAGAATAAACAACCTGCTGGGCTCGGTAGAACTACTGCCTCTTTTTCTTCATACCTTTAATATGTGATTTTTCTTCTTTCCTTGTCTTGCTACCAGAGGGTAACTGAACTTGTTTTGCTTTCATCTTAATCGATTTAACCAAAGATGATATTTCATATTTATCTTTCTTTGACATCGAAACTTCTAATGGTTTTTCCTCACCCTCCTTCACCATGCCAGAATCATCCGAAGACAATTGCATTCCTTTTGGTTTTGTAGGCTCCCTTTCCGCAGGTGGATCCGCACTATCCTTTTGCTGCTTCTGGGCTAGCTGCCTGGCATATGTCGCACTCCTGCAAACACCAAGATTATATTAGTAGAAGTTAAACATATTCGATTTAGATTGTTGTTTACTTTTGAATATTAAGAACCTATGAAATGATTTTGTTTGTGTGATACTATATTTTCTTTGAATGTTACGAACTTTGAAACAATGTCTTGATCAGCTATTAGTTTTATTTTATAAAAACATTGAGTAGAACGTAAATGTCACCACATAGAACAGAAAATACCTTTTAAATTGTGGGTCGGTGGGATCAATTGCATAGTTTGAGGAGAAAAGAGCTGAAAAACGTGGATCATCAAATGCATTACTTGGTATTTTTTCCTCATCAAAAGCATTCTCCCTCCTTTTTCCCTTGCCCTTTTTAAATTTTAGATTATATCCCTTGAGACCACTATCTGTTCCCTTATCATCAGCAAGCAACAGTTCAAGCTCCTCTTTGCTCACTTTGTCTTGGGGCTTATGTTCTTCGTCTGTACTTTGTGCCTTTTTCCTCTTCTTGACTGCAGGCTCCTCGATGAAGAAGTCATCTGCTTCTTCAGTTGCCTCTTGATCGGTATCATCGCTATCGTCATCTGATGAATACTTTGCTTTATTTTTCCTGGCCTTCTTTTTCTCCCGTTTTTTCCTCAAATATGCATCCCAAACTGTTTCTGATTGTTTATCCTTCTTTTCTAATATATGTTTGCTTAAATCTTCCAAATCTGTATTGAAGGTGACCTCCATATCATGGCCGTTATCATGTTCACCACCTCCATCTGAATCATCACCAGATTGGAGCAAAGCACGGTATTTAGCTCGTTTTTTTTCAATTTTATCAGGCTGATCATCTGTCTCACTATTATTATCCTTACTATCATCACTATCACTATCATCAGAATTTAAGAGTTCCTTCAATTCCATCTGAGCTAACTATTCAAGAGGAAGTAAGAGGAAGGGAAGATAAGAAAAAGACCATTCAATTTGAAGCAAAGTGCAAAAAAGATAATACAGAAAACACATATAAAGTAATATGGAAGAACATCCATGCTTCACAATTTCAGATATGATATAGATAAAAAACAAATAGACATATGTAAAAGATACACGAGTACGGTAAAATGTTAAGGATAAAATGTCAGCATATATGTATATGTGTGTGTGTGTGTGTGTATATATATATATATATATATATATGCATGACAGGGATATTTATAGATGCATCCATTAATAGATTGTGCATGTTTCCTTCATAATACGTATGACGGGTCTTTAACTAATTTTATAAATAAGAACTACGTAGAGAAATCACCATATAAAAGATGCAAATACTCAAGACCTCATAATAACACTATGCAAGCCCAGAATTTTTAGAATGGATAAACCTTATGCACAAAAGATACAGAAGATGACACCCAAAGTTTGGGGGCCATCCCCAAAACGCTATAGCAAGATGTTTTGAAATTTTTTATAATTTATATAATGTATTATATATATATAAATTCTCAAAACTCAAACATTTACTCAAAAATAATATTTATAATTAAGAATAAAAAATCACAGATGTAATAAACAAAGCCTACAAGTAAATACCAACAAAAGTCTAAAACAAGTTTCCTAGATTGGTTGGAATGACTAGTCATCATCTTCTAAATCCAAGTATTTATCATTGTCACTATTATTACATCTATAGATTTCGGTTTTGGAAATAAAAATCCAAAAATAGTCTACCAACACGCCTAATATCTTTTTTTCAAAGGTATTTTTTGAAACTAACACATAGAACTGCTATAGCATCAGCAACAGCTCGCTACTTAGTCTGCTATAGCAGTTGCACTAAACCACTCCACCATAGCAGCCCCTGTAGCGAGGGACCGCTCTACATTGCTAACTGCTATAGTGATTCTATAGTGCACTATTTAAAACTTTGATTACTAGAAAGCAAGCTGACCTGCTCATCATTGAGATTCCGATTCAATATCTTTGAGCGAAGAGGTTCTTCATCCTCCCAAGTAAGGGTAACCTCACTGTGCTGAAGAGCCCGAGAATAGAAATCCTTACACTCGTAATTTGCAGGCACCTAAGCACAGAACGGAGTCAAAATTTTGCAATTTATTAGTATACTGCATATATACATCATAACTAAATATGTGAGCGAGCGCACACGTACATAGACCAGATGAATTGAAAGTCCACATCAATCAATTTATAATTGCATTTTTTAATCTGACATACTATTGGAGGTCAACTGCAATCGCATCTTAAATACCTCAGTAGCAACATCCCGAGGTGGGTGTTTGAATTCCATGTCGTCTGGGATAAACCTTAAATCAAGTGCATTAGACGTCTGCATGAACTCAACCCCGTCACATTCCTTGTAAATATAATCTGCTGTGGCAATTGAGTTGCATTCCACAACAGCAAAATAGTACCTGGGGAGAAGAGAAATAATAAAAATTAATGTGAAAAGAAGAAAAAATATATAAAAGAAACTTGAACCACATGGTAAACAAGTATATCTTGAAACAGTGGACGATGTGCTGAAAAGATCCCTTAAGTTTCCTTAGTTGTACGTTGTGGACCCATGTATCAATCAGCAGAACAGTTTACTTAACCCATGTTACATATGAAAAGGTACAACAATAAAAAGTCATACGAGACATCAGACATGAGTGAATAAAATGTGTTTCTAAGGCCTCCGGCTCTAGACACCCACCCAACTAGATCATCACAATAAAATGCAAGAACTCCAAAATGATAGTCACAAGAAGGAGGTGTCTAAGACCAAACACTATTGATCACACTGATATCAGCCTAGATTACAAGAAAAATGGAAAACGAAGGCAGGAGGTAAAAATATATAAAGAATGGTCTTGTCATCATGATCATCATCTTTAACCACTATTCTTCAGTTTTAACAATATCAGCATGTAAAATATTCCTGCCTTTTGAACATTATTACATCAGAAGGCATACCTATTAATGAAATGAGTTCCTGAAGGAAAAAGTAATGAAAACTTTACATTAAATAATAGAACCAATTTAAACTCCTAAAATTACTGAGTTATACTTAATACAACACAAGGTAATACATTTGACAGTTATAGTTATTTAGATCACATTACAAGTATTTTTATAGTTATTTACCGCATTCTACTCTTCTCATATGCACGAAGTTTCTCATTGTCAATGTCATCATTGCTGTTATCTTCATCATTTTCATCATCAAATAGACCAATAGGTCCATGAATTTCCTCCTCTTTCATACGTTGAAGGCCAAACTCGGATGGATAGATAGTTACTGATTTGATCAGTCCATTAGGTGGGAGAAATGAGCTTAACAATGCATACAAATCAACAGCCTAGCAAAAAACAAACAAAAGCAAAATTTTAGCCAACATTTTAAATAATTCTCGTATCAAAAATTTATTGCAGCAAATGCACATTATACTTGAAATATGTAGTACCTTAACAAACCTCCAGTCCATGTTAACAACAGCAAGCCTATGTGTTTCTTTTTCAATTTCTGCTATGTCTTCCTGTCACAAAATAAAAATAATTCAAAAGGGCCAACCAGTGTTATATACAATGTCACACAAAACAAAGATGAGAAATTTCAAATTTAAATGCAATGCAGTACCTGTACATCAGATGCTTCTTCCTCATAAACTACCTCGTCCTCACCTTCATCTGTATCTGTATCTGTAGCAGACTCTGACTCACTGGCCTCTTCTGATTCAGCTGACGACTCAGATTCACTGGTCTCTTCGAACTCAGAACCTTTATCATTCTCTGGTTTCAACTGATTGGCTTTCACCAATTCTTCTTCCTCATCACTACTCTGCTCTGTTTCCTTTTCATCAATTTTGTAGTAATGGCGCATAGAACCAAGTTGAGAGGTTGGTTTGTTCTTGGGCTTGCCTCTCTTGTCAACAGGAGCAGAAGAGGGCAAAAAACTCTTGTGAGTGAACATGCGGTTGAAGCGAGAGTCAATGGCCACCTTTGTTTCACGCTTTGGAGCCTCCCTAAACCGAGGATCTGTGTGAGCCTTTGCATAACGAGGATCACTGATAACCTTGCCATCACTCGGTGCAGAATGTTTTGAACTCAAATTATCCTTAACCTTCCTCCTTTTGTCCTTTAGGTCCTTCTTGTTTGCATTTTTTGATCCCATTATGCTCTAGTTGGACACTGTCAGAGGAAAAACAAAGTAAGGCAAGGATTACGAGACAATAAAACTTAGATTCTCCCTCCCAAATGAAATAAAAACTACAAAATGTTGCATTGTCAATATTTTGTTGGTCATGGTCCATTGTAGTGAACCCAAAGCTCATACGGAAAAGAAATATACAACATAAATAAAGTGCATGTTTCAAAGAAAATGCATGTCTCTGTTATCACAACAAATCAACAATGTTTAAAGATGCATAGCTCACCAAGAAAAAATAGGCAACCAAAAAGGAAGTTAAATATAACACATAAATTATAAAATTTAGAGCAATAAATAAATAAGAAATAGTCACATAAACCATTCATTGTATAAACAACCAAATAAACCCTATAAAGTGAAAACCTATAACTAGTCACCTCATCCAAAACTAAAAAAAAAAGCACCAAAGCGGAGTGGAAAATATATGCAGTCTATATGTATAGCATCAGCTCCAAGCATACATAAAACCTGAAGACAATTCATTCAAACAAATAGTATGGTCTACTACTTCCAGCCACTCTTAAGTATCTTTCTTACTGCCACTGTTAAGTATCTTAAACAACAACGAAAATTCCTAATTTGTTTTCCCATTAAAGACAACAAAAGATAAATCAAAAACACTTGAATTCTCCAACAGCTGCAAAAAAAAAGCTCTTCGGTGATCATTTAAAGGCAACCACAATAGTCTCTTTCATAGCAATTCTACCAGGAAATAAATCTAACAATCGGTAATAGGATCTGCAAAACCTAAAGCAGGATCCTCCAAGAAGTACTTGGCAAAAAAACCCAACCCACACGGACACTCACAATTCAGACACCACATTATTAACAAATAATGCAATCTATAATAGGCGACACCGGCTAATACTTTCTAATGACTTACTTCTTACGTGATTCAAGCTAATAGTAGACTAGTTGTACGTGTAAGAAAAATAAGCTTGAAGTGTTACCAATGAACTAATTGGACTTCGTTCATATTAACTATGTTCCAATCACAAGGTAAATGCACTTCTTACTTGAACAAGCTATGCATACCAAATGGGCAAGCCTATTTAGTCATTCCGTCAAATCCTACTAAATCCTCACATAAGTTTCAAGCAAGACCAACAGTGAACCAAACCAAGCAAGATCGACAAATTTGCAGATTAAAAAAACAATAAAATACTACAACAAAGGAGTGACCAATAACCAACACAAATAAAATGCAGCAACATATGGTCGAAGAGCACAACTAGAAACTCAACACAACCACTAAGCCTTTGGTAAAAATGCAACCAACCTTTTGTCCAAATGAAAGCACAAACAGGCGAAATAAGGAGCCAAACTCAAAATCATACATAAAAAAATAACTTATAATTGAGAGTTGAGAAACATGAGTTTTACCCCAAAAACGAAGGGGCGGCGGGGGGCGCGGGTGTTGTTGAGAGGAGAAGTGATGTATGGCAAATGGTTCCCACCGACAGAAGGAGGAGAATTGGTTGACAGCACCACAGAAACGGGCTTTCCGGAATAAAGGATTTGAAAGAGAGGGTGAAACCAATGACCTTGCCGTTGTTGATTTTTTGTCAGTATAGTGGATCCTTTGAAAGAACCACCATTGATCACCTTTAATCCCTGTTTTTTCAATTTTAACTACTATTGAATCGCAAAAATTATGGCGGAGTGACGTCCAGGTGCGGCGGAGTGACGTCCAGGTGCGGTGAGATGAGGTCCAGGTGCGGTATGCGGATGTTGTGTTAGGGTTTAAAAGGCAGAGGAAGATGGAAGAAAAAAAAAGAACGAAAGGGAAAATAGAAAAAAAAATTATTAAAATTATTAGATTTTAATTATTTGTATTAAAAAACTATTTAAAAAATAAATAATTACATTCATACATTTAGTAACTATTTCTGGAGCCCTGCTCACTCGTAGTTTTTCTTTTATGTTTGTATTAAGAAAATTATATGTTTATTTTTTTTAATAAATAATGTATTTAAATATTTATATATTCGTATTATAATTATGTATAGTTAAAAATAATATTTAAAATAGAGTTTAATAATGTGGAAAAAATAAATAACTAAGTATTTTTTCGTTTAATTAAAATAAATATTATTATTATTTTGTTATGTTAAAATAATGAATACAATTAATAATACAAATATAATAAATTATACTAATAATAATACAAATATTAAAACTAATAACAAAAACAATAATACGAATAACAATAATAACATCAAGTGTTTCTCGCTGTACTGTAAATCAACACACAAAACTGAAATAACTGCAAGTAATTGAATTATGATCCACATACAAAAGAAAAGTAAGATGTATCTAAAAAAATTTAAGCACACTCTAAAATATGATTCGTGGGCAAAAGATTTGTAATTAAAAATACATGTAGATGTATACCACTTAGAATAAAGATATATTGACATATGAAATTAGATAAAAGTTAAATTAAACATAAAATATTCTAAACAGTGTACTTATGAAGATAATAATCAATTCACACATAATGTAAACAGTAAAATAAAGTTAAAACAAAAAAATATTCAATTCAAAATAAAATATTAATTAACAAACATGATAAAAAGAAGAAAATGCAAATAAGATAAACATATAATCTATAATGCAGAAACTAATATATTTATTTATTTACTAGGTCGAAATGATATAACTTCTGAATAACATAATTTAGAATCAAATTGTTACAATATTATAAAACTTATTAAAGATGAATAGGTTATCAACAAAAATAAAATAAAAAGATTTATTTTATGTTTTTCTTAATTAAATGAATAAAAGTTTAAGATTTATTATATTTTTAGTATGTTTACATAGTTTTTTATATATTTTTTTTATTATGTAATTATTATACCTGTATTATATTTGTGGTGAGAAAATAGTATAAAATGTGTTTGATGTAATATAATAATTTTATTTAATAAATTATTATAGATTATTTTAGTTTACATGTTTTTTTATTTTTGTTTACATTAAGTTTGATTCACAAAATAATATAAATTATATTAATTACTTTAATTTTTATAAGTGAAATATATTAAATTATTAAAAATAAAAGCTACTATTAAATACACTGATAAAATATTATATGTACTGATAAATGTAATAATAAATCATTTAACATACTAAATTATAAAAATAGTTCACTATTTTCTTTGGTTATTAATTGTAATGGAGCTTTATTAAAAAAATTAAAATAATGATTATTCTTAAAAGTCAATTAACAACTGTTGTATATATTATAGGTCGTAAAAATAAGAATATCAACAGTGTACAGATAAAATTCTCTTTACATATATAGTTATAGTTATATAATTATAGATATACTGATAAATTATTCAATATACTAAATTATAAAAATAGTTTATCATGTAATTATAATTGAGTTTTATTAAAAAAAATCAAAATAGTAGTTCGTCTTCAAAAAAAGTTAACAACAATTATATTACAAACAGTTATAAATAATAATAATAATAATAATAATACAAATAATATTAATAATGAGAATATTACTACTAATAATAATAATAAAAGTACTAATACTAATATTACTATTAATAATAACAATAATACTAGAAGTAATAATATAAATAATACTACAAATATAATACCAATATAAATTCAAATAATAATATTCAATAATATTAATACTAATTTTAATATTAATACTAATATTAGGAAGTCTAATAATACTATTACAAATGTACTAATAATACAAATTATAATAATAATACTAATAATCTTACTACTAAAAATAATAATAACACTACTAATAAAAATAATGATACAATAATAACAGAAGTAATATTATTAATCTATTTACGCTTATAATAAATATAATAATATCAATACTACTACTAATACTAATATAAATTCAACTAACAATACTAACAATAATTCTAATTACAATATTAGTACTAATATTATAAAATCTGTAATACTAATAATACAAATAAATAATAATAGTAATAATAATAATAATAATAATAATAATAATTTTATTATTATTACTACTAATAATAAAAATATTAATAAAATAATAATACTATTAATCTATATATAGATATGATTCATTTTATCCATATTTGTTTTTCACTTTTACTTTTTAAATATATTTTTAATTAAAATAATTATTTTATTAATATTGTCTTTTACTTAACTGTTTATTTAAATTTAACAGTTTTTCTTTAATCATTTTTATAAACTTTTAATTAATAAATTACGTACAAAATAAATAAAAACTACTTTACAATAAAATTATAAAACATATTTATATTAAATTATAATAAAAGCAATAATAATTTTATTATTTTTATTGTTATTAAAAACAAATAAGACAAGTATGTATAGTACATGTATTTTCATTAGCAATAATAAAAAAAATAAAACTATTATTAATATTAACACTACTAATACTAATATTAGTTCAAATAATAATAATACTAATAATAATAATTTTACTATTATTTCTGCTAATTTTAATACTAATAATATATAAGAATACTAATAATATTAATAATAAGAATAACGCTAATACTAATACTAACAATAATATTACTAATATTTTTATTATTAGTAATACAAATAATAATGAGAGTTAAATATCTTTTTGTCTATTAATCTTTTAAATTATGGTCTAATTTAGTATTTGAACTTTAAAAATGTATATATCTAATTTTTTTAACCAAATTTTGTTAAATTTATTTGATTTTTAAACATATTTTGTAACAATAGTTGAATGTTTTATATTGTTTAATGTATTCTTTTTTTCATGTTAAATGAGAAATGTATTTCAAACTTTAACTAAATTTAAGAAAAAATAAAAAAATCTAATATTCATGCAATTCTATTAATAAGAGATTAAATTAGTATAAAGTTAAAAAAGAATTAATTATAATTTTCAGTAAAAATAAAAAAAAACATATTTAATTGTAATAATGATAATAATAATCATACTTCAACCGCTACTACTAATATTAATGATAATATTAATTCAAATAATAATACTAATTCTAATATTAATAAATTTAAAGTACTAGTAATATTAATATTATTAACAATACAAATAGTATAATAATATTAATAATATAAAAAAATAATAATACTAATAATAATAAATATAATAAGGTTTAATAGTCAATTTTGTCCCCCAGTCGTTGACAAATCTCAATTTAGTCCCTCGTTTTAAAAGTGTTTGAAATATATCTCATTTCTAAAATTTTGAGTCAAATTAGTCTCTTCCGTTAAATATAAACAAACCGCGTTAATGGTTTGATGATTTGGCAGAGAACAATACTAACATGTTATTTTATAAATATATTTGTGCTGATGTATTAGTAAATTAGAAGTTGACTGTGAAAGAGTAAAGACCCCTCATCATCGTCTTAATATTGTCTTTTTTGTTCCGTTTCATTTATCCAGTTGTTTTTTATGTTGCTAACGGCAATGGTTTCCATCTCCATATTTTCGAATTCGCAAACATTTTTTTAATCGAGTGTTTCCAGTGGTGTCATTCACGGTATTGATTAATAAAAACCCTAAATTCAAAATTTCATTTCAGTTCCATTGGACAGATGAAAAATTGGTTTGATTTAATTGCAGAGGAACGTAGAGGGAGCTGAAGAGTTGTTCGCATTTCGGAGGGGAAGTTAGTGGTGAAGGAGCGAACGATTATGACAGGAATACAGGAGAACGTGGTGGAGACATCCACGGTAGAAGGAATGTTTCTAGGAGTGGATATGGAGAAGGAAGATATCAGTGGGTTCGTTGGGAACCTTGAGGTGCAGAAAATGGGGGACAAAGGGGCGAAATCCCTTACCTTTATGCCTTTCACTTCGACGGTGATGCTATCGAAGGCTGAAGTGAAGCAGATGAATTAGGGCTCAGGACAAGTTGCGATTTGTGTTTGCGATTTGAAGAGGAGAAACACGCGATTTGCTCCGCAGGACGGCGACGTTGTCGCTGACGAAGTTTACTAAGAATCGGAACCTAATGGTAGCGGCAACGACGTCATCAATTGCGCACGGAGGGAGGAACGATGTAGTGGCTGACGGTGTCTCTAGCAACGATCGGCGCCGCCGGCGACGATTTTGGTCGTCCAGAAAAAAAAAAAAACTAGAGGGCTTGGGCCTCGCCTAGAAAATATCAAGTACACCTCTAAATTTCATCTCTGCACCCATCCACTAACACGTCAACATAAAAATATCTATAAAATAACATGTCTTCTGCGAAATCATCAAACCCTTAACGTTGTTTGTTTCTATTTAACGAAAGGGACTAATTTGACTCAAAATTTTAAAAGTGAGGATCCATTTCAAACACTTTTAAATTTCAAACACTTTTAAAACGAGGGACTAAATTGAGATTTGTCAATGAAACTAGGAATAGAATTGGCTATTAAACCATATAATAATAATCAAATTACACCCAATCATTTATTATTGGTTTAAACCCTCCCTTGGTCCTCATTTTTGTATGAAAATCTCAGTTCGGTCCTCATTTTTCATCGGTCTCAATTGGGTCATATTTTTTGTAAAAATAAACACATTTTATCCTAACCGTTAACTGGTTTCAGACGGCGTTAAATTAAGACCACGTGGTGCAGAGAGAATGTGCTGATGTGTGTTTGTGCAAAGAGTGTTTTGATTGTGCATTTGTGCAAAAAGTGTTTTGATTGTAATCATTATATATATAATTTTATTACTTTGAAAAGTTAAAAATATAATATATGTGTTGAATTTATTTAAATTTAAAAATAATATATATTTTTTAATGAAATTCATACAAAAATAATATAGATAAATAATTAACTATTGTACATCAACTGATTAAGCAAACTTTTTAAATATATATTTTTTTTTAATTTTCTGAGCTTTCCTTTAAAAATAAATTTATATAAATAAAAAATATAAAAGATATCGTAATTGACTATAATAATATTATTTTATCATAAAACAAAACATCACATCTTATGTATTAAAGATTTATTTTAGTATTTTTAATATAATATTATTAAATTATTTCATTTTATAGAACTTAATCCTAAATCGTTGGAATAAAAAAACTTAATAGAAGTAAAAGTAATTTTATTAAAAAGTTTATATGATTAAATATTTATATAGTCTTAAAATCCTATCTAGTTAATTTATGATTTTTTTTATATGTTGATTATTTTATTTTAATAATATTAAAAAAATATATTAAAATAATATATTGATTTAATTAATAATCCAATTTAATCATATTCACTAGTGAACTAAATTATTTTAAATTTAGTTTTTTAATTTTAAAATTTTTATAAAATTATGTGTATTTTAATTGAATATTAATATACAAAATTGTTTATATTATATTAAATTATTATATAAAAATAATAACGTATTTAATATTTTTTAGATGACTATTTAGAGAAAACATTTCTTTTTAAACTAAAATATGTTTATTATAAATTTTTTTTAATTTTTTGTCAAAATAAATTCATAAAAACATTTAAACACAAAGAAAATTAAAAAATATGTATTTTTGCAATTCTATCCAAACATAAATAATTTTTAGACTTATAAAAGATAACTTATTTTAATATTTTTTTTAAAATTATTTTATTTTAAATTTAAATAAATTCAACATACGTATTATATTTTTAACTTTTCAAAGTAATAAAATTATATATCTAATGATTACAATCAAAACACTCTCTGCACAAATGGACAATCAAAACACTCTCTGCACAAACACACGTCAGCACATTACATTCTTTCTGCACCACGTGACCTTAATTTAATGCCGTCTGAAACCAGTTAACGGTTAGGGTAAAATGTGTTCATTTTTACAAAAAATATGATCCAATTTATTTTCATACAAAAATAAGGACCAAGGAAGAATTTAAATGGCTCCACATAGATGGGTGATGATGTAATGGACAAAAACCAACCATTGCGTAGAGTTCAATGTTTAAATGGTGATTTGGTAAATTGGTGAAGGTATTTTTTTTTGCTCGGTGAAAGTTAATATGCAATGATAAAAATTCACAAAAATGGACACGTGTCATAACAGGAGATAGGAGTATTTTGGTCATTATAGTAGTTTGAATATGAAATAACAAAATAATCAAAGAAATGGACAGGTGTCACAAATATAAATAGGGATGATTGAAGTAAGTTTGAAGTGTTTTTATGATATTTTAAAATAAATCTTTGAACTTTAATTACCATGTTATGCAATCTAAGCTAAAGGGGTTGTTTTTCCTCAAAATGTAACATTTTAACACATGATAAATGTTTACATTAATATATAATTAAATGTATATTAAACATATCAATGATTTCATCTTCAGTAGACAAATTTATGTATTTTTGGATATAGTCTTTGGCTCATTTAGTGAGTTGCTTAATCACTTAACGAATACATCCCAAAGGTAACTCATTAAGCGAGTAAGTCTGTTAATTGCCTTATATGATGTGTTGTTTGAAATGTGAAAAATCGTATGAGGATATATCATACTATAAAATGATTATGGTATTGGAGGGACGTTTATGTAATGGATGTTCAATAAAAGGAACAAATGGAATAGTTAAGTTGTAATAGGATGAGATTTGTGTATTGTATGAATATTGTGTTCATAAAGAGGAATGATATATATATATATATATATATATATATATATATATTGGTTAATATAATGTTGTGCATTGAATAAGGTTTCTTATTGTGAAATTATTTTAACTCTCTTAAATTTGCAAACTTGTATATAGAATGATGTTTAGGTTATGAGAGTTGAATAAGGTTTCTATAGTGGGATTTAGGATAAGAGATATTTCTTTTTGCAAGTGAACTAACCATGTTACGAGGAATTGAGACTTGGTAAATTTGGGTTAATCATTATTCATTGATTACATGTCATGTGCAATTTGAAATGTGTGGACATGTGGTTTTTGTTTAATCGTTGCGGTATTATAACATGTGATGGTATAAACTATCATTAGCTTATCCTATTTTTCGTGTTTTGTTGTGGTTTATCCATTAGTTATTATCGTATGTTATATGTGTGCATATGATAGTTCAAATATGATGGTTTTGAAATAGTAAGATGGTTGATGGACGAATAAAATATAATTAATGCATAAGTATATAATTTTGTATTATATAGATCCTCCACTTGTGTAAGAACTTTATATTTTGAAAAATGTATCATTGAGATTTGTGAAAGTATGTAGATACATTATCTATGTTTATATGATTGTTTATTACTTCAATACCTAACTTGTATTAGTTTTAGTTAGTAGTGTAAACCTACTAAATTAAAATAGGATAAATATGTTTTTAGTTTCTTAACTTTCAATTAAAATTTGAATTAATCTCTTCTCCAAATTTTAGACAAATTTAGTCCTTCATCTTTAGAATTGCATCAATTTATTTCTTGTAATCAAATTTTGTAAAGTTTATTTGAGGTTTCAAATACGTTTTTCAAGTAATATTGAATAAAAAATGTGTCAAATAATGTAAACAACTCAAATGTTATCATAAAATATATTTGAAACATTAAGTAAACTTAAAAAAAATTGATTAAAAATACTAAATCCACACATTTATGAAATTGAAGAACTAAATTGAATCAAAATTAAAAACAAAACAAATAATTTTAATTTTCACTAAAAATTAAAAAAAAAATAAAAAAATAGTCATCTAATCCAATTTTATATCACAAAGTTTGAAAAAATTAATACATGAATTCACTTGAAAAATATATTATTAAATAGTCAACCATAATTTATTATTAAACTTTAATCTAATAATAATAATAATAATAAATATATTATTTTTAAATTATTTATGGTCCTTTAAAATTTAAGCAAATTTTTAAATATTTATTAATAAGAATGATAGATGGGAATGTTTTGTATAAAATAGGTGTAACACGTAGATGATTTCACTATAACTTTGTATATATTTCTAATATAAATTTCAATAAAAATATTTTTCATTCGAAAAACAGTGGGCTGGTGGTGACCATGGTAACAGGTGGCTAGAGAATAGGGCGCCGCTACACTTTCCTGCATGTACCTCACATCCACGCTATCAATCTCAGCCCATGTAGCTATCTCTTTTTATTTAATTTCATTAATTTTAATTAATAATTTACTTTTACGATGTTGTTGGGGTCTCTTTCTTCTGGAACTAACCCCAATCTGCACTGAACCGTGAACTTAGCACCACCACCACCGCCACCACCGCCACCTTCTTCTCATTCTTCTTCTTCCATTCGATGGCGTTCGCTCACTGCCTGCTCGCAGTTCCCGTTGAACCCTGCGAATATCCAAAACTTCCCATATCCAACCAACCGTTGTCGATTTCCTCACACTGTTTAAACCTCTCTTCAACTCTCCGCCCCAAAACTCACAACCTCTCACTATTCGCCAGGCTCCGCAGAATCGCTCACAAAGGTAGAATTTTTCATCTTTTTTTTCTCAATGTTGTTTTTTTATTTTTCAAAAATCGCTAATTTCAGCATTTGCTTCCGGTTCAGCCAACGCTAAGCCGCAGGAACCCGAAGTCAGCGTGGCCAGTGAGGCCTTCACGGAATTCAAGCATCTGCTTTTGCCCATTACGGATAGGAATCCCTACCTCTCTGAGGGTACAAGACAAGTGGGTCGCTGTGATGCACTTAGTTTTTTTTTTTTTTTTGGCCTTGGCTTAATTTGTGCATTTGTTCATCAAACGCTGACTTGGGGTTGTCGTGTTTTTATTAGGCTATTGCAACCACCTCTGCTTTAGCTAAAAAGTACGGAGCTGACATTACAGTTGTAGGTATGTTATTGTAACTTGGCATGTGCTTGTGTGCATACCTACGGGTGGTTTTCAAGAGAAAGAAAAATGAGGATAACTTTTCGCTTTTGAATTAGAAGATTTATACAATTTTGTCTCAGGTCTTATCCAAGTTGAATTGGGTTACTTCTTGTGAAGGATAAGTACCAAAAAATTGAAGAATATTTGTTAGAAGGGAAAACTTTACCCTTGCTTCCCTTTTCCTCCAAATTTCCACTCCCAAGCATAAGGGTTGTTGTGTTAAATTTATGAAGGGGAAAATGACTTCCGTTACTTTTATGCATGATTTGTAGGGGTGTATTTGAATGATAACTTATTTGGGAAAGTAGTTTATTCTTTAGGCACTTTCAGATACTGTTTCTTTAGAATTTAGCTGAAATTAAACATAAAACGCAAATGGGTTTATGTGCTTTTTATGCTTTACAGTTATTGATGAACAGCAGAAAGAGTCACTGCCTGAGCATGAGGCTCAACTATCCAGCATCCGTTGGCATCTATCTGAAGGTCTGTAGTAGCTATTTTCTCTGTTTAATTTATTACATTTTGGCTGTTGAAACCCTTCAAAGCACAATACTACGTTTTCTTACTCTGTGAACATTACTTTATAGCGTGATCATTTTGTTCGAGTGTTTTGTATGGAAAGTTTGTTATGACTATTTTATATGAATTGCTCTGAATGGCCTTTCAGAAAACTTTCCCCTTAACAGTATGATTATTTTCTTTGAATGTTTGTTGTATAGCAAGCTTGTCATGTATTGGTGATTCGTGTTTTTGTGCAATGAATGACTATTATATAAGAATTGCTGAAAATGGTCTTTCTTGAAATATGGATTTTGACTCCACCATTTTTGAACATTTGATCGATCATCCAAGATTATGTTGAATATACAGGATAGCCAGTAGAAGAGTTTCATGTAGATTGAAATCCTTATAATATAAGGGTGTTAGAGTCTTATTCTCATCAATTTTGATAACATATTCGTGCCATAAAGTTAAACTACAGTTAAGGATTTGCCAATTGTTGTTCAATTTACTTGTTGTTGTGTTTGATGATAAAAATGCAGGTGGGTTGAAGGACTATAATTTGCTAGAGAGGCTTGGTGAAGGGAGCAAGCCAACGGCTATCATTGGTGATGTTGCTGATGACCTTAACTTGGATTTGGTAGTTATTAGCATGGAAGCAATTCATACAAAGCACATAGATGCAAATTTGCTAGCCGAGTTCATTCCTTGTCCTGTCATGCTTTTGCCATTGTAATTTGCATTGTTTTAAGATAGGGAGCGGTTTTTGTTTCATCCCATCTGTCTTCTCTCATGCAATTTGATATTCCATCGTGTTGTTTAGCATTTGCTACTCCTGTGTCAGGGATGTACATATGTGTGCTGAAGCAAATCTAAGTTTTATGTCTGCAAAGGAACCGTGTTAGAGTTTTCTTCTGGGGACCAAATTTTCAAGAAATGATAATTAGGAGAGGAATTTGGATCCTCTATCTGAGCTATTAGAATGTTGTTCTGCTATTCTAAGTTTTGGATGTATCTCTGCTTGAAGATACCATTTGAAAATCTCACATCGTCAAGGGTTAGTGTTCTCCCATGTTCTCTGTTGAACATGGTTCATAGATATTGCAATTCCACTCCATATGCTTCTGATTTCTGGTTCTGGAAAACATATTATTATCAATGGTGAACAGTATCCATGTTTAAAACTTCAATTTAATACATTTCACTCTTTACTCTCATCTGTAATTGGACTTAAAATCTGAAGTTTGAATCTCATGAACCCCGTCTCATAATGAACTGTGCTAGTTTATGGAAAACATTTGGTGAGAACATTCAGCAACATTGACTTACATCTATTGCCAAAATGATGTTTACATTTAATTAAGCAGTTTTATTTTAAACACTTAGGCCGAAATAAAAAGTGGTAGGGAAATTGCTTTTTTCCAGATTGAATTAAGTTGTTTACCAGGAAAAAAATTGGAAATTCATGAAATATAATTATCTTATAATACTAACTGATTGATCTTGTTCAAAATGGAAATTTCATAATGTTTGCCTTTCAGGATTTTGTTTGATTTTTATTTTTCATATACATATAAAAGAAAAAGATATTATTTCATTCAAATGCATTAAATATACGTTTAATACAATTTAATGTATGTGTTTTTAACAACAAACACTGTAGCAATTGACATAAATGTTATATACAGGTCGAATTAAAGACCTATCTTTATTGAAACCTTCTGCCATAAAAAAAAAAACGAAAAACTAATTTATGATCATAAAGAAAGGAGAAACAGAAATCCAAATAACCCTAAATTATTTTCTTGACCGAGTTGGATGAAAAATGGCTGCACCAAACACGTTGTGAAACGATGAAATTAGTTGGGGCTATTTAATTGATCAATAATTAGTCGATTTGACGTTTGTAAGAGCAAGTTGTGTAACCATGGGATTGAGAAATCTACTTAAATTGTATTTTGTTTTGCACTCATAAGCAGTGAAAAAAATAGCTTAAATCTTTAAAACTAGTTATAACATGAGAAATTAACTGGTAGTTGAAAGTTTGTGATTGTTAGTTGAAAGCAAAGCACTTAAAAAGTTTACTTATTATATCATAAATATTGAGTGAAATTACAAATATAAAATAATCAAATTAAATATGTCTATATGGTGTTCTTATATAAATTTTGGATTATTTCATTGATAAAATATATTTCAGGGTATTTCAATTTTAATTAACTTTAGAGTCTTGTAATTTTATATTAATAAATAAATTATTTTAATTATATTTATTTTACTTTCAATACTTTATATATATATATATATATATATATATATATATATATATATATATATATATATCACAAAATTAAGTGATATATCTTTATACAAATAGTTTATTTTTTTTTCCAAAATTCTTTTATCTAACGTGTGATTGAATTTCTAACTATATTCGAATGTGAAGTAAACAAGAAAAGATACTCTAAAAAAATAAAACACAAAGTCAATTTTTTAAGAGTTTATTATTTAATTATAAACATATAAAGTCACTTTGAAGAATAAAAAGAAAATAAACATAAAAAGTGTAACATCTCCTATTAGTAAAACTTTCTACTAATTTAGATATTTCATCATTTGTTATCAAGCATAAACTACACAAGTTTGGTCACACACATGTATTATATTATTCCTCAAATACTACTAATATAAAATGTATTTCAAAATATAAAGTATTTCAAAATAAAAAGTATTTCAAAATAAAAAGAGACAAATAACATGTAATATAAAATAAGTAATATAACATTAATCATTCATGTTTAGTCTATTCTTGACCTAAATTACTTTTAGGTTCATCGCTTGCAGTATTCTTTGTTTTTTAGTAACCTATGATCTTAGAAAAAGAAAAGAAACAATCATAAAACAAGGGTAAACAAGTATATTAAAAAAATGTAGAATTAAATTCAAAGATTTAAAATCAAGCAAATCATGTAGAACTAATTCATACAACTAAATACATCATATCAATAAATCATTACAATTACTTTTAGAAGATTTTGTGTATAAAGTCAGATCCAAAAATTTTGCACATGTCATAAGGATCCCGATAACATTTTAGTGGTTCCACCAAGCTTTCTTATATGACAAGGTTAACTCACATATCTCAACCAAAAAGGGTCCATTCATAACCAATTCCCGTCATAGAAACCTCAATCAACTCTCATTATCTAAATATCTTACTCTTTGTGAGTTGAAATACCTACTAGAGTCTAAATAATCGTCTTCTGAACCCTTACTCAATACACTTAACACAAAATTGGAATATTTTCTCCCTTGCAAAACAGTTCCCAACACAAGTCATGTGGTACCCTATGTCAGCCCTTTGCACCTAGCCTACCAAGAAAGCGTTCAACAAGAGCACCTCTACAACTCCCAATAATTTAATTCGAGACTAACACCCGACAACCCTTGGATGGCACCCAACATCGAATGTATGGTAGTCCCACTTAAAGCAAGCTAAGTTAGAGGCCAATGTTAAGTGGTGCCTAACAATATTGTAGGGGCACCTAGTGGTATTCCAAAAACTTGAAATTCTTCTGAGTTTTTAATGGAGTAAATTGACTATTTCTAAGCTATTTTTCACTTAATAAGCTTTATAAAATTATAATATAATTATATCTTAGCTAAAAAAAGTATCAATTAAATGTCTCGTAGAGAAGTCTTCATTAATAAACCAAAAACCAAGGTTTAACAAGAGCAAAACACATTAAATCAATCTCACCTATCTTTAAAGCAATCTTACAAGACTAAATAGATTATCAATCACCACGAAAAAAAATCCAAATGTCATATCACTTCCAGTGTAACAAACCAATTCATAATTAAGTTTCCCAAACAATCATAATTATATACCCAAACACATGAAAGTTTTTAAAAACTAACTTCCCTTACCTGTTTAAGAGCACAACATGGTTCTTTTAACTCCAAGCACCTCTAATCACAAAGATAGACAATATATACACAAAGAAAACTTAGGTTAAAGATTTGACCATATCTAAATTATCCTATTTGAACAAAGATTCATCAAGAGCTCATAGACCATACATGCAAACCTAATCCCTAAACATGCACCCAACACAAATATCAAATGACTCTAGAATAACTTACTTTGTTAAAAAAGGAAGAAGTATAGGTCTCTTTGAAAGAGTTTTATAACAAGTTTCGATCTTCAAAAGAATGAATACATAGATAAAAGATTTTAAAGAAATGATAAAGGAAAAAAAGGAAGTTAAAAACTAACACCTTTTAAGAAAATGATAGAAGTGAATAAAAAAAGTGTTAACTAAATATTACTAGTAAAATTAAACAAATTTGAAACTAACAAAATAAACTACAAACAATAATTAGTTTTGATGTGTCAGAACAAGTTAGGTGGATTGAGATGAATAAAATTACAAAACTATATAGTAAGCATAATGACAAACTTATATGTCCACATGTCCATGTGAAAAATGAAAAAATAACTCTAATAAAGTTATTAATAATATTTTTCTTCCAAATTCGAGTCTCAACCAAACAAAAGTATTTATTAGAAATAAAAATAGTGTTAGAGTAATATATATATATATATATATATATATATATATATATTAATAACCTCTTTTGTGTAAGTAAATAGAAAAGCTTTGAAAAAAATATTAAAGTAGAATAAAAAGTAATAATGATATACATATAAGGTGAATGCAAATCATTCATAATTGATTAAACTTATATTAATAAAAAATAGTTTTTTTTTTCTCTTTTTACTAACACACCTTACAATGAATTTAAAGAAAAATAATGAAAAAAAATTGATTAGTGAACTTTTGTAAAATTGACATTTATTTTTTTATTAACATACAATAACATGTATATGTTGAGTTTTATTTTAGATTTTCCTAAAAGTCTCACATATATTTGTTTAAATTAAGACTTTGAATTTTTTTTTCTTTATGATTTATCTTTCTTTCCTTTTTACTTTTTTTTCCTATGGAGAGCCGATGATGATAATGGTGTTGCTACTTTGATGTTTGTGGACATTTCAAATGTCATTTTTGTAGTATGAATCAATGGTTATGGGTGTGTTGACAATTTCTTTCGATTGCATTGAAGTTTTGTGGTTGTAAGAGCATTATTGAAGTAGATATTCCTATTGTACTATTGAAATTGAACCGTGAGTGTTTTTTAGGTTTCTGATCATAATAATACATTAAATGTTTATATTAATTGTGTTTCTGATTTGTTGTGGTTTACTGTTTTGTGTATGATATCTTATGATTCCCTAATAAGTTCATGTTAGGTATGAATGAACTTTGGTATCTTAACTATGTTGACACCTCAAAATCCAACAACAGTCATCACATAAAATTTTTATTAAAAAGATAAAAAATAAATGAGAAGAAAACATGGGTTGAGGAGCTCATTGCTCATAATATGATTCATGATTCATTTGTTATAAGTTATGATGAAAAGACACTAACATGGAAGAATCGTCTACCATGTCTTATACTCCAACTTGAAAGAAGCTATCGAGGTCTCTGGGAATCTTCAGAGAGAATGACTCGAACAATCATATGGATCACCATTCCTCGAGTGATAAGATTCTCACCCAAAAAACAAATCCTTCATGAAAAAAGGTAATTATTTTGTCTAGATTTCCACTTAAGTAAGAATATCTCTCTTTTAAAGTCATCGTAAAATAAAAGTTTGGTCTTGTTATTAGTTTCACTTATAGTGAAATTGTTTTGTTTGAGCAAAAGTATGCATATTTATAAATCAAATATCTAGAATCAAACAACTTTTTCCCCACCATTTTCAACGACTATAAAAGAACAACAATCATTGTATACCTATTTTGTAATCCGTAACATTCAAATGTGTTTTTGGCTCAAAAGGAATACCCTAGACTCTAATTCGATTTAAATGTAACTATTATGAGTTTCAACATAATCAAAGATCAAATTAGTGTAAACTTGGTTCATAAGTTTCTTAAATTATCACATACAAAGAGTCCAAACTTGCAAAGATCAATTTACAATGATTTGTCATTAAAACTACATCCACTTTTACACTATTTTCTAAGTCCTTAAAAAAATATAAACCATAATTAACATCCATTACCTTAACACATATTAGAAATTTAGATTAACATATATTAATCTAAATGATTCATATTTTATAAGGACTTAAAAATAGTATAAGAGTAGTGGTAGTTTTAATGATGACACTCAATTATTTTATTTATAAAAAGTTCAACTATAAATAATTTTGACATTAATCAAGTTTTATTCTATAAAAAATCACTATCTCTTTAGAAACCCTTTTTAGAACTTTCTTTGTCTTCTTTTTTTCTTGAGTCTGTCTTTCATTTGTTTGACGATCAGAGACCACTAGTGGACTCAAGATGAAAAGGTTTTCAATTCTACCTAATTAGTTTATTAAATATAGTAAGTTCATCTTTTGCCTTCTTCTTGGTCTTTTAAGATGTTAAAATGTTTGGATGTAACGTTAAAATGCTCAAAATGAATCCCTGTGTTCAATTAGAATTGTTAGGGTTTATTATGAACATTGATTAATGTTCTCTATGTGTAGGTAGAATAACACCTGTGTGAGGTAGAGTCTATGGAGTTTATGAGAATTGAGTCTGTGTAGAACACTTTTTGGAGTTTAAGAGCATCTATCTAGGTAGGGAAAGCTAGTTTAATTATAATGATCAAGCTTTGAATTAATGAAATTGAACTGTTGTGATATTTGCTTTTGAACTGCTGAATTGGAAATGTTGTTTATAAAACTAATTTGATTTTGTTAGGATTATCCATTTTGATCTACCTAAGGTTATTTTGAACTGAAACAAGGTATTTTAAAATAAGTAAGAGTTAAAATTGCATAAACAAATAAGTTAGATAACCTATCTCAGTCAAATCAAGGCTGGAATTTTGATATAGCGTCATGTGGTACCACAAATCCGTTGGGTGCCATGCGAAGGGCTTAAGTTAGTGAGATCCAAAGGTCAAAGGCAGTGTGCACTACCTTAGGACTGTTAGCCGCTTATATGAATGGGTTTCGGTGGTCTAAGCCACTATATTGGGACCGCCGAGTGTTAACTTGATAATGAGTTTTAGTGGGTGCTACCTGGTATCCTTGAATGCTCACTTGATAGTGAGCTTTAGGGGGTTTAACATTGGGTGTCAAGACCTTGCGTTGAGTGTCATATTCCCCTTGTTAGATGCCATATGGAATTCATTCCAAGAGTTCCTAAAGTGTAGTGTTGGGCGTTAGGGATCCTCAAATACTATGTTTTGTAATATATTGATTTATGTTCAAAATTGTTTTATTTAATCATGTATGTTGACAATAATGAATGAGTTTGATATGTAATGTGTGATGTTTGTTGTTTGGATAACAATATTGGATATTGTAGTGATTTCCAAGGAAGAAGTGCTACATTGATATTGAGTTAGGGTGTATTGAATGTTGATTTCGTAAAGAGATTATATTGACTTTGCTAGTATTTTACTCACATAAAGAAATATATATCTAGTTATGAAAGTCGGGAGAGGTTCATATTTGGACCTTCGGTAGGAGAACAAACTCATAAATACATAACTTACCTTGTCATGCTCTTTGGGAGGGATGATGTCTAACATATATATGTCCTAAGAGACAAGAGTGAGGGATAATAGACGCACAATCTCTCAATCTACTCAATACAATTTTATTTCAAAAGTAAAGTCAAATGTTTAAGCCTTGAGAGATAGTGGGTTATGAGGGCAAATTTTATGCATACATTTGATTTTGTTATACGTGATTGGCTGGTTATGATGATTAGAAAATTTATAATATTCATGGTCTCTTATATTTACACTGTCTTACATTGTTGTTTGTTGTGTTATGATTTGTCTGTATAATGATTTTATATTATATATGAAAAAATGATCGTATGTGAAAAAATTGTAAAACAATATGGTTGTTGATGGTCTTTTTAGAAATAATAACTATTACTAGATATATAATTTTTGTATTCTATAGTTGATTTTCATAAGTATTAATTATCTTTTAAAAGTTTAGTTTTTATTTTCTCATTAATAATTTTGTAAATAGGTTTTATATATTTATATGTTTGTTTATGTTTTTCATTAATTATATAATATCTTTAATTAGTAAGGTGATCTTATAATAAGTTGGACGGTTAAATATTTCATGTGCAAACATTAAAAATCAAAGTTAAAAGTCTAAAAGAAAAATAAAACTTACTTTAAAACAAGAATCAATTGATTTAAATTACCCTAAATTGAATAATTTAAAATTTTCCAAAGGAAATTAGAAAGACCAATGAAAAGTATTTCTTTTTTAAATAATAGTTTGTAAAATAAATTATTACATAGTTAAATTTTAATTACAACCTTATATTATATTAAAATGTTTTTCACTAGTTCGTTAAAAAAAAAATCATCAACGATACATACTATTAAAGATGATTTTATTTTATCTTTTAGAAATGATTGTTCAGTAAGAAAACCTAATACTTGTCCACGATGCCTGTTGTTATTTTACTCTATCTTTTATTATAATTAAAATAATAACTATTCAGTGTTTATAATGAATTTCTAAATTTGACTTTTTCTAAAAATATATACTAAAATAGTTAGTATATATACATGACCGTGTAAAATTATTTACTTTCTTAAATTCTCCTGTTTAATTTTATTTTAATATTTTTTATTATCAACGAATATCTTAACATTTAACTAACTGTGACTAAATATTATAATTGAATTTCAAATATGAACTTTATCTTAAAAGTCGTAATACAATATGTATATGACATGATTTTACACTTTTAATTTAATGGATTTGTTTAAAAATTTACAAACAGCTGTCTCTCACAAATGTACCAAACAAATTTAATTTAACTTTTGATATAATTCGACTTATTTTTTTAATTATTTTATTTTCAATTTGAATTTTGATTTTTTTAAGAAATCAATAACACTAAATATACAATACATATTAAAAAATTTGTAGTAAATATAAAGCATAACTTATATGTTCAAAAATATTTTCTATTATTGATTTTATTTATACCAAATAAATATGTATTAACTATAACGAACAAATTAAAATACTACATTATATTGTGAAATATAAACTGTTGAGAAGACAAAGTATCGAGATAAAGATTATAATTTATTCGAAAGATATTCAATAATTTAAAAATAATTATGATTAAAGGATATAAACTGTTGAGAAGACAAAGTATCGAGATAAAGATAGAAATAGAGTAGTTTAAGATGGTTATAACAGAAAATTTTTGAACTAATTATTGAAACTAAAATTATACTTTTAAAATAAATTATATATTTAATTTATGGGATCTGAATAAAATATTTGGGTCAGATCTCTTCAAAATCATAATAAAGTACAATGTTGTTGAAGAATAATTTCAAGATATAAGAAATTAAAAATAGAGAAAAGTTAAGTATCTTATATTTTTAATAGTAAAAATAATTATTAAAATATACTTTTAATCATATTTTTGATATGCCGATATTAAAATTAGAAAAAAAAGTTTATTCTCTTGATTGATATACCGATATTAAAATTTTATTGTAAAAAAAGATTTAGTCTAACTGATTTAGTTATCATTGTTTGGAGTTGCAGTATACAGTTGCAGGGTGGGTAAAGAAGAATTAGTTGCCTTGCCACTCTCATCAGGATCAGGTGTATGTAATCTAATCTCTGAAGAAAAGATTAACAGAAAGATGAGATAAATTTGTAAAAGATAAAATATTATAATTATGATAAGTTGAAAATAAGAATGAAAATGAATGAAATAGAGGGATTATCATATAATGTATATCTCTATCTTGAATAAAAACTAAATTTTTTTAGAATATATTTTATTCGCAGATAGGGGTATTTACGTAAAGTTGGAGGTCACAGAAAACCTGGTATAAGAAGGAAGCTCATCCCTGATTCTGAGAGTCACAGTGAGAAGAGCAAAAAAGCACAAGAAACAACGTGACCCCACCCCCTTCTCCTTCTTATAAATGCACACTCTCTAACAAACCAAATACCTCTACCACTTGCGATCCGAGAGATCAAACCCTAATATACACATACACACACTTTCTCTCTCTGAATCCCAATTTTTTTTTTATCACCATCTCCTCGATCACCTCTCACACACACTCAGATTGTGATTGAGATTAACCCTAACGCATACTCACACACACTCTTCCGGTTGGGATTCCGATTCGGATTCAAATGGCTACGAGCGGTGCCTCTCCCAATCATTCTCCTAAGCCTGGAGTCTCCTCGCCCTGGAGTCAGATTGTGGCTGCAGCTGCGCCTCCTTCCTCTCCGCCGCTGCCTCTCGACTCTGCCTTCATCAATTCTGCCCCGGCAGATGATGTTGATAACGGCGGTGGAAACAATGTCAATAGCGGCAAGAGGCCTGCGTGGAATAAGCCCTCCAACGGTGCTTCTTCTTCCGTCATGGGTGCGGATTCCTGGCCCGCACTGTCGGAATCCGCTCGCGCTTTGGCAAAATCGCCTTCACCTTCGGAATCTGCGAAGGGTTCCATGGATGTGATGTCTGCGCCATCATTGCAGGTTTTTTTTTCCTTCCATCTTTTGTTTTTGTTAATTTGGGATTATTGATTTAAAAAAATACAAAATACTTGGGGCCGTTATTTTTTATTAACTTTATGTAGTAATATCCAGTTCTGTCTAGTGTTTGTTGTTTTGTCTTTCTATTCTACCAACTGAAAAATAATGCAGTGTAGGTTTTTTTAATATTAGAATTTAGATCAAGGCTGTTGCAGGTGATTGTAAATTGAATCTCTCTTTTAGTTTGTCCGGTGTATGGATTTTTGAAAGTGCAACATGTGCATTGCTGTTGTAGGGTTCTGGAAGTGTGGTTCCTTCACCACATAGGCAAGATAGGGATAATGTAAGTGCGAACAACACTGTGCAGACTCATCAGAAGTCTTTTAATAAGCGAGGCAATTTCAACCCATCTTCTAATGGTGGTCACATTCCTCCACAAACGTTGGGGCCTCAAGGTCCTATGGCTCCTGCTGGGTCCCACAACTATAATTCTTCTCTTAAAGAGCATCAACCGAGAGCTGGATTTGTGCCTAATGATCATCCGCCACAACGGAATTCTTTTAGACACCGGAATGGTGGTGGTCCTCATCAGCGTGGGGATGGTCACCATCATAACTATGGGGGTAGACGTGATCATGATCGTGGGAATCAGGACTGGAGTAATCACCGCAATTTTAATGGTAGAGACAACTATATGTCTCCAAGATTTGTTCCTAGGTTTATTAGGCCTCCACCACCTCCTAATCTTGCTCAACTATATCCACCCCCACCTGCAATGCGACCTCCTTATGGTTCTATTGGCTATCCTGGTACGTGTAATAATGTTCAGATGATGTTTTTATTGTTTATGTTCGTGGTCTGATAATTGTTTGTATTTGCAGAACTACCTCCTCAGATGTTATATGTTTCACCTCCACCCCTGGAATCAATGAGAGGTGTCCCCTTTGTCTCTCCAATACCACCTAATGCAATGTTTTTTCAACCTGCCGATAATCATTTGCACACTAAGATTGTGAACCAGATTGATTACTATTTCAGGTGTTGCTTATGCTTTTGATTAGTCACTATTTTCACATTGTTTTATGATTTTTAACTGCTTTAAGAAGTTGTCTGCATATTTACCACACATTGTCTTTTTCAGCAATGATAATTTAGTTAAGGATATATACTTGAGGCGGAACATGGATGACCAAGGATGGGTTCCTATAAGTTTAATATCAAACTTCAAGAAAGTAAGTTGGTTTGGTGGTATTTGGTTGCCTGATTTTTTTATATATGGGAAGTTGGTTGGTTGATCGGGTTTGTAGCTGATTAATAATACCATACTGCACTTTCTGTTGTATTGTTTGATGCTCTCTATATTGGATAGTGATTGATGACATATGTAGTAACATTCTCGTTATCCAATGTATCCTATATTTTATTGTCCTTTCCATGACATTCATGGGATGACAAACAGTTGTAGTATAGGTTTTTGTTTTTTTTAGGTTATATTAGAAAATCTTTGAGAGAAGTATGAATTTACTCTTAAAATCAATGTATTACGGCTAGGTGCATGGTAAGTGCTACATTCAGTATGGATCAAAATGTAATGAATGCTGGGTTCCAACAATGTACTTTGGTTGATACATGAATTATTCACCACCCTTGTAGACTAGAAAGGCTTGGATACAAACCTCAGTGTGACTTTCCTTTTTGATTTTCTGTTATTTATCTCTTGGGCTGACAGATATGAATGTGATCCCTGCAATAACTTATTGTTGAATTAGATGGATATAGGTGGGTCGTAAGAGTAATATTGCAGGGTATACACAAACGTACCAGGTTGGGAAAACGGTACACCATTTGCTTTTATGATTTGTGAGGTGACTTGAATGAACCAAGTTTTGCTATTCTCAAATTTACCATCTTTTTAAGGAATTCCATATTCATATGTCTCTTGATGGTGTTATGGTGTTGTACAAGCCCTGATTTGAGTGACTCGTTTATTTGAGTGACTAATAATGTGTATGGAAGTTGATCTTGCTGAATTTTCTCGAATTTGATTTACTGACATAGGTAAAATGGAAATGGAAGATTTTGTTATTGTATTTTTATTTTTTAGAATCACTTCTAAAGCTGAACATTATATGTGGGGTAGTCTGTTAGAGTTTTCCTTATATTATGTTTTGGTTTTTCTTGTGATTTCGGTTAGTATTCTGGCCAAGTTTTGTTCGTTTGCCAATTTTTCTATTGTGGATACGTAGATGAAGCATTGTTCATCATTAGATGACTATTTTTTTTATGTCGTAGGTCAAGTATTTGACTGAAAATATCCAGACTGTGATAGATGCTGTTCGAGCGTCATCTGTTGTTGAAATTCAGGTATTTTTGTTAAACTTGCATTATATCTCCCTGTTTTAAAATTTAAGTAAACAGGACAATCAGATTATATTTGTTTGTTAAATCTATTTTATGTTAAACTTATTCCTCTTGGATTATAGGGTGACAAAGTTAGGAAAAGAAATGATTGGAGGAGATGGATCATGCCTCCTGCTCAGCTTCCTAATTCTAGAGGTTCTCAAACCGTTGGACAACTGGCAGAACAAGTCCAAAACATTACTCTGGAAACAACTATCAATGATGATACTGGGGTATTAGATGTTTCACAGAATAGACCCTTCGGGGAATTGAATGGTCAATATCTGCTTTCCACTGGCGAGAGTACTGGACAAGTCGGCATTCAAGTTTCAGATCATTCTATTTCTGCCAGAAATTAGAGCTGCATCTGTTCTTTAAAACATTTTTTGAAGAATATTCTTCAGAGGGAGGCAGGAAGCAGGGATCATGGTCTCAATTTTTACATATCGCACAGTGGGACATGATTTCTCATGAGGTATCTAGGAAAACATGATTGAGAAATGGGAAGAAAATACCTTTTTATAAAACAGAAAAAAACACCAAATGGTAAAAATGGCCCGGAAAAGGCGCATTTATATTTTGTGTTTTGGAGCTAGTAGCATTACTCTTGTGATTACTTGTTTATATGGGGTGTAATGTTCCTACTCCAATGGTGGGATGGTAGTCTACTTTAATGTGGGGATTATTTTTTGTTTTTATTCCCCTGAATTCCCCCTTGGCTGCTTTTTAAATTGTTTGGGGTTCATGTTCCCACCTGGTTTAGGAGCATTATATGTGAGATCGATCAATGGGTGTTGAATGAGTTTGATAGCTACTAGTTGACTGAGTGAAGGGGAACATACATGGCTTTCTGCTGACGGAGCTTCTTCGCAACTGCTTCACTCAATCATTGTATGATGTCCCTTACTATTTCCCCTTCACATCATATTTGGAAATAACTACACCTTTTTTTTTCCTTAGTTTTATTTCATTCAAACTCTTACTAGCCATAAATTTGTCCCTGTGGGGTTATTTAAAACTTCAATTTTTTGCACTCCATGGAACTTGTCTTCGTTATTCCTGTTCTAATATCGTTTATTCATGTAATTCGTTTACTTTTTATTTTAGGCTTACGGGCTGGATTAACGTTTTCAAATAATCATTACCAACTTTATTTGTTATGCATTCACAGGTTAAAACAGTCTTATAATCACAGTAAAATCGATAGATTTATTATACGTCAGAGATCGTGTTTCAAAGTCTTATTTGACGATTTTCTGTACTTTTCTACATCTATTGTTTTATTGTTGCGAATATATTTAGAAAAGACGGAAATAATTGTATTTAAAAATATAAGAAAGATAAATCTCATTCCGTAAAATAATAGAAGAAAGTGAATATTTTTTAAAAAGTGGAAGAAAATTGAGTGTGAACAAGCAAAGCTGTAAATTTTAAAATTAAAAACAAAGAGGGAATCTCAAAAGAGATAGGTATAATTTCTGCCGTTGATTGTGGTAATATTTAGAGAGTAAAAGTGAGACCATACCGCTGTAAAACATAAGGTTATGTGGTAAGAATAGATAAGTTGGTATTGTGACTTGTATGATGTAGCATTAAATAAAAAACTCGTTAAAGAAAAATGATATCATATACTTCACTTATAATCTATTTACATAACTAAAACTTTTCGTGATGAGAAGATGAAAAATATTCCTCTATAACAAGCTCTAACATAAAAAAATAAATTTGGATTACTTTTTACCTTTTGTATTTTCGATTGATAAAATATGTCTTTATTAAAACATACTTAATATAAATATTTCAAATGTGACAAATTACATTCTTATGCTAAAATGCAATTGAAAATTCATATATCATGTGTTTTGGTTATACTTCATTTTGTATGTATGATGTTAAAACTATGATTATAAATTTGAGAACTTGTTTTAAGTTTTATGTAATATATTATATACAGTGGACGTTATATTTGAGGTATATATGTGTTGTATTTGTCCGCAACCACCTTTCTTTACCACTCCAAAGACTATTAGTAAACTGTCAAATTGATTTTACTTTGTGTGAATGAAAATAGGTATGGACCAAAGAAGATAAACTCTGACAAAAGACGTTAAAAAAATGAAGTCACATTGTCCTCATCTAATAACCTCAATTATTAGCTTCAGTTTTTAATTCATTCCTTTTCTTTTTCAATCTTCTGTGTCTTTCTTTCTTTGTTCCTTCCATATTCAAACAAAGTGTCGGAAAAAAATGAAATCTTAACAAACTCACCATTCATGTTTTAATCCTTCTCTTCAACTTTAGCTTTCATGGTTGTCAAATGTTTTTTTTTTCTTTTATAACATTATGTATAAAAAAGAAAAACATAAATAAATATTTGAGATACATGAACAATATAAAAAAAAGTAAAAATTATTCTTACATTTTTCTTTTGTATATAAATTATATAATAATTCTCCTAAAAATAACTCTTACAACGAATGATATTTTCCAATAAATATTTGCTTTTTTATTTAACTATCTAATTCCAAAAATGTCCAACTTCACCCGAATAATATACTTGATTATAAAATTTAGTCAGATAATATACATAATATACCGTGTCAAATATTTATGTAGATAATACATTTTTTTAAAATAAAAAATTCGGTTTCCGATAAGCAACTTTCAAATTGTTATTTACAGTATTTTCAATTGAAATAATAAAATTTACTTGTCACTTTACCTTAATAATAATATTTTTTACATTAATTTCGAAATTCCATAATTTTTGACGCTTAGACACACGTAGGTAAGATAAGAAAACAAGATACCCATTAACATAAAATTTAAATAATAAATACCACATTGAAAAAACTAGGTATTTTATTATTTGGTCTTTAAGGTCACTACAAAAAAACATATAAATTTTATAAATCTATACTCTCTATCTATTTATTATGAATGAACTACAATTTGTAACAATGTCTCTGCTATGCTATTATTTTATAATGACCTGTTATAATTTTGACTTGCATGCTTTATCAATTTAAATTTCGAATAAAAAAGCTTTCATTGTGGTGAAAACACGATAATTATATATAAAGACATATCGAGTTGCATATAAATTAAATATTGGAGTGTTCATGTAATTTTCTCATTTTTTTTTCACATTCGTATACTTTATAGTGTCCTTTTATAATGTATGATGTATTTTTAATATTTAGAATTCTTAATTGCAGAAAATATTTCAAATTTTAGGAGTCCCCAAACAAATATCGTTGCATATATTAGATTTAGATTATCAGCTTAATGTCAAAAAGGTCTTATTAAATAAATTATAGTTATTTATTACATTTACTAAGTAATATATACTATAAATAAAACCAATTAACACACTAACCCATTAAAGCATGAATACATGTTGCCATTATTCTGTTAGAATTTTAATTGATTTCTATTATAAACAGTAGATTAAGTAATAAAATTTAATAAATCGTTAGAATTTATTAAATATGGTCTTCTCTTTTTAAACATAAACAATATAGATTTTTTTTCTATGGACACGATCCATGAACTAAAGTATAATTAATGATAATTCTTGTTAATACCAGAACTCATGTTTAAAAAATTTGATCTTTAGGTTTAACACATTAACTACTTTTGTCCTACAGAATTTGTTTACATATAAAAGAAAATAATTATTGAATTGAATAACACCTTATATATTAATTCGAGCTCAAAAATTGGAACCTATCGACCTCTTAACCCAGAAGTAAAGAAATAGAAAATAGTTTTTACGAAAAATTCTCATTCTCTTTAGATCGTATTTGTTCTAATTTGCTTAATTATTTCATATAATTTGAAAACTAATACTAAAAATAATTTAAATACATATTTTTCTTAATATTTTGAAATATATTTTAAAAATAAAATCATGATAAAACTTTAAGGCTATATTTGTTTGGAGTAATGTATTTTAGCAGAGGAAAAATAAAGTGTTAGAAATTGTTTAAATGAGCTGATTTGGAGGTATTTCCATGGACAAATTTAAGGGGCTGAACTTTTTTTTATCCTTTCACGAGTGAAGAGATTTTTATTCAAAAATATTATTTTAGAATTTTTTATATAAAATTATCTAGAAAATTGTCATAATTAATTTCGTTTAATTTTTACATTGTTTTTCGATTTCAACTCGTATTCATTATTTATTTCTTTAAAGAATTAAATTCTATTATCCACTAAAAGATCAAACTCTAACTTAGTTAATAGTCATGAATTCAATTCAAGTAAAAATTTCGATCCATCATCAAATTTTTTTGTAGAAAAACACTCTAAACTCACAAATTGCAAAGTATTAAAAAACAAAATCGGACAAAAGAACACACTATAATTATAATAAAAATTCAACAAATAGAATAAAAACAAAGCACACACAAAAAAACATTCTAACCAAAAATAGAGATAAAAGGATTAATACACACAAGTAACATAAAATTCAAGGAATAAAATACGTAGATTAGAAACTATATAGAGATAAAAGAGGAAAATAAAAATTAATTTTGATTATAAGAAGATAAAGATAACTAATAATTATCGTTTTTCTAAAAAAAATTATAATTTATTGACAAAAAGGCTTTAACTCATTAAATATAATTTTTAATACTAATAAAAATTAACAAACACTAATAATAATTTAATTAAATTTTATTAGTTATAATTAATTTAATTAAAGTATATTAGTATTAAAAATATCCTTTTAAGGCTTTTTTTTATTAAGCATAATTTTATAATTAATTTAATAGAAGAATATTAATACTGAAAAAAAAAATGAAGTCTTTTTTTTTTTTACCTAAAGCTAGTGCTTTATCACCTTCACCTTTGAGTCGACATTGATTAGAGGAAAAAATCACGTCATCCTATACTTAATTACAAGAATAATCCTTTGCCTTTTTGTTTCTTTGATGCTATGCATTTGCAACTCCATGCTTAATATAATTTTGTCAATTTTAAATAATAACTCATTTTTAGTACTAATAATTTTATTTAAACTAATCACCCACCCACAAATTATTTGAACTTAATTTCTACTAATCTTATTTTATTTGAATAAAATTTTATTATTTTGAATTTCTTTTATATTAAAAATCGCATTTCATTTTAACATAATTTATATTTATTATATTTTATTTTAACTTAATTTTATGAACAAAGGTAATTCATTAATCTTGTAATTTTAGTAATTAAAACTTTTCTTAATTTATTAAATTTATCACATTATTAAAAAAACTTTCATAAATTTTTCTCTTAAATCTTTTTATTTTTATTATATTTTCTTTAATTCAAATAACTTTACTTTCCTCTCAAATCCATTTCTGAAAACAAACACATCCTGAAATAAATGATATATCTATGATAATTAAGTTAAATATTATCTTTAACAAGCTTGTGCATGGCTTGAGACTAACTAATATATAATTTATAGCTGCAGCGTCCAGACAAGGTGTTAAAAATATCTATTATTGGCCAATCCTCATGTTTGTTGGGAAGGTCTAAAGTCCACAGCCAGAGAGTACAACTACATGTGCAGATAATTGAACTTTTGAAATAAAGATATAAAGTATGTCACCCACACCATCAACAATAATGGTCAAATTTTTAGGCACATTTATGGAAGATGGAGCTTAATATCTACAACTACCAAGCTAGGGCCACATAATGCTGTGAAAGTTACATCATCATATATTCATACTTTAAAGGGTACATTTCTGTCTCAGTGGAACGTGCGCCTCTGGGTAAAAGGAACACTCTAATAGTAACATGCTTCTTAAAATGGTGCTGTATATGTTCGATATAGATTGCCCTTCTTCCACTTATTCGTTGCTATTTCTCCCAACTGCTGCCAAAACAATACAAACATTTTATCATCTCAATAGCTACTATCTATCACCCAAAAATTCCCTTTTTTAGAGTATGTGATAGGATGAAAGAAAAAAATATTTGAAATCTGAATTAAAAATAGATAAAAGATTAAATTTTTTTTTACATAAAAAAAAATACACCTTTATGCATATTTATTTCCCTTCCCCTGAAAAGGCCAAGAAAATGGGAAAAGATGTGTACGGAAAAACCAATAATCAAAGAGATAAGGGAAATAAGGAAACCAGTTGCTGCTCTCTTCTGAGTCTTGCATTCTCTTCTCGCAACTGCTTGATTTTTTGCTTCAACTCAAACAAGTAAGCCTACACAGAAAAAGCAAAACGGACAAAGATCATTGTTAAGCAAAAAACCCGAAACAGTGGATTTTGGTGACACTCTAAAGCTAAGAGTTGAAGAAGAAGCAATATTTTCCTGCTTTCTGGCTCTGGATCGAGCAGCAGATTCACGATTCTTCATGAGTCGTGCGTCACGCATGTCCCTTGAAGATGGTGTGGCTCTTTTATTCGAAAATGGGTGGGCAAAAGGTTCGGTCTTTGAAGCAGTATGCACCGATTGCAGGTCCTTTTGCGGAGGAGGGTACTCAGAGCGCGTGCTCAAGGTGAGAGCAGTCACCGGAGATGTGTCCACGGTGAAGCTGTTAAAGGGTCGAGCTAGAAAGTCTTGAAAATTTGCACCTTTGGAGGTGGGGGTAGTGTTGGTGTTGTGGCCGCTTAAGGAAGTGAGGTTGATGCCGTCCCACACATCTTCCATGGCTTTGTTGTTGGTAGTGTTGTTGGTTGTCGGGGTTTGGTGTGAGAAGTGTGAAGGTAGTGAGGAAGAGAGGGGTTTGTGGTTCAGGTTGTTCCTGTTGCAGGTGGTGGTGGTTGTGTTTATTGATGAAGATGACAGCATTTGGTGGAAGATGAAGTGGGGCTGGATTTGGAATGGAAAGGTGACAAATTTGGAACACTGGTGTGAAAATAAAAATGAAGAAACAGTCTTTAAGTTGGCCTGATGTTGGTTACACTGTTTCGTACGTTGTCTGTGATGAACAGTCATGTCCCGACTGTCCTGGTTTGCAACTTCTGACATGTCCAAAAAGCACCTCTTTCATAACTTTTATTACTTTAGGTTAAGTATAGTTAGTGTTTCTGATTGTTTTAGTGTTAGTGTCTCTGGAAAAAATAGGATGTGAAAATAATCGATGCATGCAGAATCTTGAAAGCAAAATTATGAAATAAACAAACAACACACAAAAAGTTGGATGAGTTCGTGTTAGGATACCCATCCAATTTTGGATTTTTCGAAAATAATGGTGAATTCAGTTGTCATTTTCCATTTTCGTAGGTAGCTAATGTTAATGACAAATTTAAAATTTAATTGGTGACTAACTATAACTTTTTTATTGATGTAGTGCTATTTTAGAGATTAATAATTTTTAATTTATAAATTAATGTCTAAATTAGTTAATATATAGTGATCAATTACTTTTTGTCTCTAAAATTAATTGTCATTTAAATATTTTCGTATAGAAATATATATATACCTTAAAAGTATCCCTCTAAAAAGAAAGAAAAATATTACATGTAAATATAGAGTAATCACAGCTAATACAAGTCATAGTAATTTAAGCTAAAACTACTTCTTTTAAATAACCACAATTTTATACGAAATACCTTTTTATTAAAAAAATTTATTCTTAATTATCTAATTTTCAACTTACCAACAAAATATAAATGTCCTCATGCAAATGAGATATATCGATTTTGATATAAGAGTAATTTTTGTTTGTCATATCTTATTTAAACTCTTTATGATCTTGGTGTTGAGTATTCAACTTCTCTTAAAGAATTTAATAATTGATTCACAAAGTAGGAAAACTATAAAATCTATGAAAAAATAGCTAAATTATATAAATGTGTTTTGGACGTCTTTTCAGCATATTATAAAATAAGAAGTTATATGTTTAGTAAAAGAAAAGTGTGACATATATATGGCCAAAGCTTTTTGTTATAGGCTGGTTGTTGTGTGTTTGATTCATGTGTATGTCTAACTTGTTTTATTTATTTTATTATATGTGATTAACGTGATGTGTTGAATGAATTTATGAGAACTGTGTGCATTGTTCTATGTATGCTAGTTGGTTTGGTTGATGTGGTTGTTTGATTGCATAAGGTAAAGGGTCTGAACCTTGGCTGGATTAAATGTGCATTATGCTTTATTTTTTCTTTTATGTTTGACTTGTGTGAATAATGGTTGGTCAAGTTCATTGTACATAGACAAAGGTTGTAAGCGGAGACAAAGGTTGTGAGCAGTGCAGCGAAATGATTAGCGTGTTTGGACAAAAATTAAGATGATGGAGTGAATTGATTTCTTGTGCTTTAAAATATTTTTTCTTCTCTCTTTATAATATTCACTTAACAAATAATATCAACAACAATAAAGAGCAGGGAAATAGAGATTTGCGCAAGTAGTTTTATATTAGTTCAGATCCCAAAAATCCTACATCCAGTTACTAATTCCAAATAGAGATTATCACAAAACCAATAAACTATTACAATCACACATAAAGACAAGTTTAAGGGCTTAAAAACACCTCTCTTGTTACCCCCAAGAGATGATACTCACTTCCCCTGAAAACCACAAGAGATGAATATATCATTTGAATGTTTCACAAAGGATGATGAACACTTCCTTTGAATCTTCACAAAGGATGACAAACTTCACTTCGCAACAATAATAATAATCGATCACACTCCCAGTGAAAGTTCTTGCTCTATGCCAACACCAAGTTCTCAAAGTCAGCGCAGAAGGGTTACACAAACCCTAGATCACACTTCAATCAATTTAACAAGTATAGTTGTGTGTTAGAATAAGAGTCTAAAACATCTTTATAAAGACCTCACTCAAGGACAACTCCAACAAATCTACTGTCAGCTAGATTATCTAAATGAGGTAATTAATTATGCATTTAATGCATGCACAACGGTAAAAAACATGTTTGAAAACTCTCATAATTACTCATGATAATCATAAGTTATAATTTATTATAGATAATGGATTATCATAAGTGGGTAATTGATTATTTTAAGACAGAATGAGTTTTTAGAAAACTTTTAAACACACAATACATATAATCAACATAAATAACACCCTATACATAAAATTATTGAATTATAAAAGCTTTAAAATAATACAAGTTTTTATGAAGATCTTCTTACAACTTGAACACTTAATACTTAATTTTAGACATCATCAAAACTTCTAAACTTCATCTTTATCTTTATGTTTAATAGGTTGTAGGTTAGATAAAACAGGTAATGTAGAAAGTGTTTTTCATAGTGCAACCAAGTGTATACTACCACTTGAGTATCGGTTAACTAAGGTAACCAATATGCTGAGATATTAGACGTGCAAACCCAGAAGATTAAGGCCACATTTTTATTTTATGAATGGAGAACCATAAAAGATAGGAAATAATCTGATGCACTCAGTAATAATCACATATCCTTTTTGGGAACCTGAAAGGAGAATGGCCAACTATGTTTTTATGAAAGATAGTTTGAGGAGTGCCACTTTTACGAAGGCGTGGGTAGAAAAATAAGGTAGAGGAAGAAGCACCGTACTTTAATCTATCCCATATTTTACTCAGCTATACATTTTTTTGTTTTAGGATTTTGAACATATATTTTTTAAGTAATTTAAAAATATTAAAAATATATAATATTTTAAAAATAAAAATAAACAAGTTATTAAAATATTTTCAAAAAATTACATAATCCTGATTTTGAAAATAAGTTGGAAAAAAAGAAAATATATTTATTTCTTTATGTTTTTTTATATTTTTGAACAAAAAATCACATCAATTTCGTACATTTAACTAAAATATTTAAGACGGAATTTCAAATTTCATAAATTTTGTTTTACTCTTAGATTTTTTATAATAATAATAACTCAAAATATATTATTTTTAAACTGACACTATTATTCAATATACAATTTTAAATAAATATCAAAGGCCTTTAATATGAAATATGAAACATAAAATATTAAAGTTAAACATTATTAAAAGAATATTTTAGTTTAACAATATTTTCAAAATAACAAATTTTCATCCAAAAACTTCTCTTGAATTACTCAAATAATAATATCTTAAAAACAAATTTTAATGTTATTATGCATAAAAAAATGTAAAAGGAATATCCAACTCATGAAAAATATGTGAATTTTAGTAACTTGTAAAAAAGTTACTATCGTGTGAATTAAAAACTATTAAAAATACATTACCTTGAAGTTATTATTATTACGTAGATTAAACACCAATGGATATATATATATATATATATATATATATATATATATATATATATATATATACTTTTTTATTATAATAATAAAAAATAAAACATAACTTCATGATTATTAAAATAAAAAAAGCATTATTAAATTTTAAAAGCAAAATATACTTTATAATTTATACTTATACATAATTTTTTTTATATTTATTTTTTAATTTTACTTTTTTAAATAAAAATTGTTTAAATTAAAATAATTATTTTACCAATAATACTATTTAATGACAATTTTTAAAGAGTTCTTCCACTGCACCTCCTAATTCTCCTCTTACACCTCATAGTTATCTTAACGAAAGTTAATGATGACATTAATGATTGCTTTATTTTTTATCAACTAATTCAATCAATTCAACTATGTATACCTGCACCCCATATTTATGAAACACAACGTACTCGTTTTGTTACATTTTTTTATTTGTTTTTTGTGTTTGCTTGTGTTCATTCCACTTGTGGTCCATGTGGTCGTTGGTAGTTCCGGTGGTGGTGTTGTGTCCCATGTATGGTGTATTGCTGCAGCTTAGAAGACTTCATTTGAGGTAAGTTTTAAGTTAAAAACCCTTAACCGAACTTCGGTTAAAACATTGTTGTTGTTTGAATGTCAATTGAGGCCTTGACGCAATTCGAATAGTGACGGGAGCTTAATACGACAAGGCCTTCACTAACGTTCGAATGTTGTGAAGGCCTTGTCGTGTTTCAAATTTTGTTGAGCTCTTAACCGGCGTTTGAACTTCGGTAAAGTCTTAACTATACTTCGAACCTCCAAGCTTACATGCATGCCCATCAAACCAGAAATTCACACAGATCCCAACATCCAAACAGATGATATGCATATGCTTTACATACAATTCAATCCAATTTCTACTTCAATCCATTTATATATGCAACAAAATTCAATGCAAACGACAATACATGCAATATCATATTCAACGAAAACGACAATGGAAACGACCAGAGAAAGAAAGACCAATCTTTACTGTAGAAATCAAAGGCGCGGAAAAGAGATCCAAACACCACCACACCATCGGCACGAAGGCGATTGACGAAGGACGAAAAAGAACAACACTGCGACAAATGAAAAAGAGCCTGTGAAAGGTGAGCGCGACATACAGATGGTGAAGGGCGACTTTGGGCGACTTTGAAATGCAGTGAGAGAGCTAATTCACAATGGAGACGCGAGATTGAGAGAATATGCAAGAGAGAGTTGCCCGAGATGAGATGCACCCAGAGAGAGAGCGTTTTGGGACAAAAGCGCGAGAGAAAGTTTCATTTTCAAGGAGACGCGAGAGGAGTAACTCTTTAAGGATGTGTTCACTTTGGGAAGAGGAATTGGGGGAGAGTGAGTTGGTGGATTTGAGGGTGAATTAATTGTTGTTTGTTTGAGTAGATTTGGACGTAAATCAAAGTGAATTCGAAAGTAAAGTTTATAAGAATTAGTGTAGGATTTGATTCATGTGAGAGATAAAATAAATTTGTTTAATTGATAGAAATTGAAGATTACCAAAATGCCCTTAGTTATTAATGTAATATAAAATGATAATTGTTAATATTATATTTAATTGTAAAAAAGTTTATAAAAAATGAAATATTAACATTAATTATTAAAATAACATTTAATATTGTAAAAAAAATTATTTTAGTAAAATGAATTTATTTTTAATTGTAATATTTTTATAATATTATTTATTACAAAGGTGAAATTGAATATTTTTAAAAACAAAAAAAATTAATCACACAACCACCATAGCCTTTCTAACTTCTCTCTTTATCCAAATCCAAAACATTTCTTTCTCCCTCTCTCTGCCTTCTCACTCTTCTTTCTTCACCTCCACCAAACCACATTGCCCCGCTTTCAAACTCTCGTCTTCCCATTATTCCTCCTCCCCTCCCACCACCGGCTTCCTCACCGACGACGTCCTACGCCGCCTCAATTCCCTCGAATCCTTCCTCTATCGCCGCGACCTCCCCTCTAGCTCCCTCTTCGTCCGCCTCATGCGCCCCCACGAGACCTGTTCGACCGTTCTCCTCCTCGCCCACTCCTTCGTCGAGTCCTTGCTCATTCCCGCCGCTTACGTCAACCTCCTCGCTTTCCTCATCAACCAGTACCTCCTCCAACGCCTGACGCTCCTGCCCAAAAACGCCACGCTCGTCGCCTTCTACACTCAAACACCATCGCCATCTACTGCTACTGCTGCTAAAGAAGATGGGAAGAACCATTACAAGAAGACGACGGAGCGCCCTTGGCTGAAACTGTCGAGATCTGTGTCAACAGAAGAGGCACCCCGGAACCGAATCCAAGAAACGAACGCCTGAAACTCAATACAATAAACCATAATCGAATAAATCAAAAGCTTTCGTCTCCCACTGCAGTGTAACCGAATACGTACACTCAGAACCGAATACAACAATGACTTTCTTTTTTTTATATGGTATTATGATATCTAGGAAGGGCAAAGACGAGATTTGCCTTGAATTCACTGCAAATCATCTCATATCTGCGAGTGATTGTATCTCACAAATACGCTCCGTTCCATCTTTGCAAATTGTTGCAAATAGTCCAAAGCGAACATCACCTATCTCGCAAATCAATCGTCGCTATTATTCATAAACAATACCTTACCTTCAAGCGAACACAGCGTAAAGGTCTAGAGTTTCGATTTTAAATTTTGAAACAAAATATTGATCAAAGATTCCTTTTGAAAGTATGTAGCTTTTGAGATTTTGATAAAGTTATTATGAATATTTTGGAATTGTAGGATAATATGGAGATGCACGTGGAAGAACTCTTCTTTAAATTTTAACTACTTTTTAATTTTAATATTTTTATTAAAAAATTACACAAAAAAACTATTTACAATAAAATTATAAAAATTATTTATATTCAATTTTATAATTATAATAACAACACTAACAATAATTCTAACAATAATTTTTCTTATTTTATTAGATTATTTTATACGTAGTTAATTGATTTTTGTAAAATAATTATAAAATTTCAAAAGTAAAATAATAAAATAACATATATTAATAAAAAATGAATAATAAATTATCATGACTAAATTTACTATTAATGATTACCTCAGAAAAAAATCCTCTTTAATCAGTATAAATTACTCCTTCCAATGTATATGTTTATGTATATTTTGAAGTAATTATCATTTGTATATCCGAATGTTTTAATAGAACTATGGAAGAGCTGAAGAATTGAAACACTTATAAGGCGGGAAATAAAGAGTGAATACAAATTGTCTCGTGTTCAACAAATTCACTGTTCGGAAGGTTGCTCGCGAGGACGAGAGGCACAATTTCAGGGTACGTTCTTTATCTTAATACTATGATTGTCCTTTCAGCAATTGTCTTTATCACTGTAATTAGGTCACAGCACCAATTACTTACATCACCGATTGTGGCAACAGGTTTCCTAAACTCAGAATTGGCTTAGGGTTATGAATAGTAATTTTCCATAGCAATTCATTGATGTTATTATGTAGTAAAACTGTTGCTGCTGCGTAATTCTGTTCTATCCCAATCTTAAAATGAATATAAGAGAAAATCAATAAACGAACCTAACAGCAGAGCACGGATTTTTTCTATTATTGTTTTTTTCTGTTGGTTCTGGCCTTTCAACTTGCTTTGAATACTGTTCTGTAATGAGGGCTCCAAAAATCTGCTAATATCGCAGCTCACAATGCTAACAAATGAATGTCATACACTTGTAATTTTGAGCCAGTTTCCATGTACTAAATCTCTTTTCTAGCTCGTATGTAATTTAGCTTTCCAATATTTTCCAATTAACGTGCTATAACTCTCAGGTTCTTTTCAGAGGGACTCATTTCAGGTAATTGTTGCTCACATCTTTGCTTCACATTTCATTCACTTCAACAGCTAATGATTTGTATGCACGAGCTTCACATTAATTTTTTTTTTTGGCTTTTATTTCTGTTTTGCTCTGTGTCCAATGATTCTTCATAGCCACTGATTTTAAGGCAATGGATAAAAGACCTGAACATGGTGCCAATGCCTCGCCTAATGGAATAGGATCCAGGTTCTCCAATTTGAACAAGTCTTTCAAATATTCTATCAGATCTTTGCTCACTTCATGCTCAAAGGAGGTACGCTTTGTTTCTTCTTTCTTCTCTCTCTTCTTACGGATGCTTTCAATTGTGTTGTATAATGAAAGTGTTAACAATAGGTATGTAAAAAAAATTTCACTTATTTTTGGTTTTTGACCAGTTCACCGTTTTCATATTGCTTTAAAACTTGAGACCAGTTTTATGGTTCAAATAGACCGGATACCAGACCGGTTCACTGGTTATAACAATTGTGTGATATCACTCGTAATTTATAGATGCATAAAACATTAACCAGATCTGTTGCACTAGTTCAGATCAGATGCTTTTGCACTAAACAGATAGTCATATGTTTACACAGTGTTACTGGCTTAATAGGTAGTAATGGTTGAGCTATGTTATGTCTAACCCATTTTGTGATAGCATACCTTTTTATCCTATGGTTTGAGTATGAGTAATCAAGTATAAATCTGAAATTATGTTAATATTTTGCACTCTAAAACGGCTATATTGATACATGTTTCTGTTGACGCTTAAAGGAATTTTATAAAGCATTTTCAAGTTTCTCTAACACTGAAAGGGAATTTCTCCATCGCCTATTTCTTCAGGTATGCACTCTTGATATTAGTTTGTCGATATTAGAAGTATATTTCTGAATGTTACATTGAGTTTTAGCCCATAAGAAAACCACGCCAATGGGTTGACCCAGGTCACTATTTTTCCTATCTAGTTTTCCTTATAAATTGTGTTCTAAAATTAGGACAGTTGTTGAATTTCAATATTTCCTTTATATTTATGTCGATGTTAATCTTGGAACTTTTTTTGTGCAACCTTGTAGATAGAGTTATATAATAATTCTAATCCTCGGCCACTTAATACTAAGTAGTTTTATAGAAGGTATTAACTATGAAAGGGAGGTCAAATTAAAAAGACATCTTTACAAATAAATACGTAAAATGAAGAAGGCCTTAAATGTGATAACATAGCAACATCTAGTTAGATATGAAGTTAAACAAGGATTTGTTGTTACTATCAAGCTTGTGCCTATCAAGAAACATGTTTTATAAACCTTCTGCCCCAAATCGTTCAGTGATGACAGATGAATGACTTCATATCCAACATGCCCCATTACACTGGAGCCTTACGAGACTGGAAGCCTTTAAAAGCTCAGAAAATGCACTGACATTCTCTACCTTGTATTGAAATATAACTTTACTTTTAAAGCATAGAGCTTCTAATACCAACCTACCTAAGAACAAGTTCTGAAAAAGAGTGACCTGTGCATCACCACTCTTTATAAAATGCAAGACTACTCCAAGAAATCTGTGAATTATTGTGATTGATAGTTTGACACTCCTTTTTACAGGAAGTGTCTTCTTTTCTAATTGTAATAGGAACCAACCAATATTATTTACTAATTAAGCTATATATATCATTCCTCTTCTTAGCTGGACGCAATTCACACAAATTCCTTTTGTTCTGTTTTTCAAAGGCCAAGTGTCAAGAATACTTGGAGGTCCATTTATTTGTATTCTAATTGCCCTTTTTGTATCATGTCTTTCAGGTCATTACTTCATTGCATGAAAACATAGAGGTAAGTTCGTGATAGGTGCTGTTGTGAGTAATGTTGATGTAGAATCCATTCCCTCCCAAATATAAACAGCTGATGAGATGCGTTATGCAACAGTTGAGGATGTTATCTCAATATCACTTCTGATTATTTCCTTCTAGTCATAGCTATTTTTCAAGCATAAGCCTGATGCTGATGTTTCACTATTTTAGATGCTTAGTAATGATCTGTCATCTAAGGTTTGAGTCAGTAAAGAAAATTATCTTGAAATTTGTATTAGTTAGCTTATGTTAAGTTTGTGTCTGTCAGCGTATGCAATGGTTTAGTATTTTTCTTTTATTTTTTTAGAATTATTGGATCATGATTTGTTGTTACTGTGCAATTTTGTTTTGTTTCTTTTTCTTTCCCTCTCTCACATGTTGATAGATTTGTCAGGAAACATCTATTCAATAACTTGTCTCCTCCTCTAACTATTTTATTTTCACATGTGAAGCTTTTTAGCATAAATAATCTGCTATTATTTTGATAAAAATGTTAATTTTAAATGCTCAGTTAATTATTTTTACAGGAAGGGTTTGAGACAATCTGTATTCAAACACAGGTATAGTTGAATTATTGTCTCTGTTCTTTTATTCTAAAATTTAAACAAAAGTGTAGAACAATTTTGTATCTGATTGCCCAACATTCATATACTGTAATTTAGTTAGGACTGCATCCATACATTATAAGACTTGCACATTAGTAGGCATGGCAGACGGAAGGGGCAAGGTAAGTTTTGCTTGCCCACCACAGCTACCACCTAGGTCAGGAGCAGGTTCACAAGTAGAATTGAAATTAATGGAAATCAAGGGCGGCAAACTTTCATTTGGATTAGGCTCCTCTAAATGTAGTCTGTTTTTAAAGTGAGCAAGGGTTTATTTACTCCATTTAGTCCGAGGTGCTTTTTGATCTAAAATATAGAAGTACATACACTTTCTTTCTCACAGTAAACACATACTCATTTTAGAGGATCTTTGTTAGGATACAAGGTATATGAGAGAAAAAGGTATAGGAGAGAAGGAGAAGGCCGAACGGTTGGAAGCGGAGAGAGGTTAGGTCGGTGGAAGGCAGAGAGAGGTCAGGCCGAATGGTGGAAGGCGGAGATAGGTCAAGCCGAATGGTGAAAAGCGGGGAGAGGTCAGGCCGAACGGTGGAATGCAGAGAGAGGTCAAGCCGAATGGTGGAAGGCGAGGAGAGGTCAGGCCGAATGGCTGAAGGCGGTGAGAGCTCAACCCGAACGGTGGGAAGCAGCGAAGAACTTGAGCCGACCGATTGAAGAAGTTACTATCCTTCGCAGTTAGGATATGCGAAAAATATTTAGTATATTTAGAGCGATATTCAGAGAAATATATTCTAGGGAAAGATTTTATTCTAGGGAAATATTTTATTTTAGGGAAATATTTTATTTAGAAAAATATTCATATTTTATTCTAGGAAATATTTTATTCTAGGGAAATATTTTATTTAGAACAATATTCATATTTTATTCTAGGGAAAGATTTAGCACAAGATGGGCAGGAAATAATTAGTATAAATAAAGCTAGAGGCTATTGTTAGGGTCATGTTTTTGATTATTGAGTTTTGTTGACACGTGGCTATGCGTCCTGTGAGGGAGGCTTTGCGTCCTGTGAGGGAGGCTATGCGTCCTGCGAGGGAGGTTATGCTCCAAATTATTGTTTACTTTTGTTTATTCAGATATTACCATCAATAAAAGAGATTCATTCGTCCATTATCATTTGTTCATTGTCTTTTCTACCTACCGTGATCGTGTCTTAATTATGTCTCCCACTCGGATACGCAACAATCTTTCTCTTTAATTCATACTTGAAGGTGCTATCAAAAGTGTGTGGAAAACAATAAAAGAAAATAATATGGACATGTTATTGAGGATAGTAATTGCATATATTTTTAGGCAAATCCTCACAATGTAATCAAATTAATAAATTTGTATAAAACTTTTTATTCTTGTGCCCTTTTTTCATGGATACTTGTTTTTATTGTTGCAAATGGTCCAATACCTCCCACTCAATGGTTAAAATAAGAGCTTTTCTTATTTTAATCAAATCATTTTAACTCAAATTTCAGTTATGGGAATCTTTAGAACTAGCCGATACAGTTAAGAAGTTGAACCTTTCTAGTTCTTTTTAAGTTTCAACATCTAGTTCTCTACCAGTTAAGATTTGGCTTTGAAGATATTCTTTTTAAAAGGCATGTTTGGATAAGCTTCCCAAGAAAGATTTGGAAGAGAAAAATATGGAAACAAAATGAAATTAATTTCTCCACGAGTTAAAATTAGCTTATGAGTTAACTTGTAGAAACTCTCTCATATAACTTCAAATTTTTATTTTTAACTATTGCATAAGTTAATTCTAACTTATGAAAAAATCAATTTATTTTTTGTTCTTATTTTGTTTCATAGAAGTCTTTATGGAGAAGTTCTTTCTTATAGACTCAAAATCTTCTACAGTACCTACAGAATCATATCACAATTCAGTTACTCCCTTTAAGTAAAGTGAAAGTTTTGAATGCTTTTAGATACCTTAACACATGTCAGATATGGTGGCTTTGATACTCTTACTGCGATACCCTCTGTGTAGGACATACAGGCATGCACTTGCACTATCCTAAAATATACAAGCTAGTCTGTAATTTTGCATTCATCTGTGCTGCAGGCAGGAGCCACTCTTGATGCTGTGGAGGAAATTGTGGAAGAACAAGATCTGGATGTCCTGTTTTCAGATAGGTATTATAGGATTTTGGAACAGCATTATAAGTAGTTTGTCGTAGGATGTTATTACTATTATTATATATCTGAAGTGGTCATATTGAAAATTCCATTCATATTAGCAATCATATTAAATTAGTGAAGCTTAATCTTCAACACAAGGGTCTCTTTTGTTAACCCCATTTTTAATTTTGTTGATAGAGATTTCAGATTACTTGGGGACGAGTGCTGATTATTTTTAACACATTGAATTTGTATACTTTTCCCATATATATTGGTTATTACGTTTACAGCATGTTTGATTATTTGTACTCAATATGGAAACATTGATAAAAATGCAGGAGTAATATAACGGATGTTTCTGAGAATCTGTCTATGGCAAAGAAGAAAGAACTTCAACACTTAATGCATATGGTTCAATTGGTAGGTACACCGTACATTACCTGAATGCATCCTTGTCATTATGTCATATTATACTGAAGGTGAACTAGAAAATAAGTACTTTATTTTTTATTGAGGGATTGCACATCTTGAGTATATTTGACGCCACTATTCACTTCGCCTAAAAGGACAAAATACTCCACTTTCTGTGCGTCTGTCACTATTTTCATATTATTCCATGCCTTCTTTCTAATTCGCGGTTTATATTTTTCATTCTCAAATTTTAATAGACAAAAAGTTTATTATCCTTGGTCGAGTGGACTCCAGGAACAGCCTTCTACTTTGTCATGAACCTAAAAAGTGTTCCTTGGAGCGTAACAGCGATAACCTTTGTCTACAACTCGACATACAATTTAAGGGTACAAATGATATTAATTATCAATTGAAAATAATTGATATTTTCCTTACACAGTGTTATAGAAGAAAATGAAGGTAGAGGTACTTTTATATCTTATTTGGTTGAAAACTTTGAGAGGAGAAGGAAAGAGAAGGAACTATCTTGAGGTTTTGTTTTCTCTCCGCTCCTGTTCATTAGTATTGCTATAGGTAAAAAAAATTCTCCCTTTAAACCCAAACAAGTATCCTTCCGTTCTCTACCCAAACCAAATAAGAGATTTTTCCGTCCTCTCCGACTTCTGAATCGTTTGTTTTTCTTCTACTCTTGTACTCTGTATGATCACCTTGTTGTTTCTTAGGGAGAGGAACATAATCAAGTATTGCGCAACCGACTGCAAATCCTTAGGGAAGACAACAAAGTATTATCTGGCGCTTCCCAAGCTGTTGAGAAGGTGAATGTCTCTGAACTCCTCTATGGTCTTTCCATTAGTCGAAAGGTTATAATTCTGATGTTTTTTTACTTGGGGTTTTCCTTTTTGGCTGATGCGTGTCTCCCATCCGTTGCTTGTTTATGCGCATAACCAACAGTTCAAGAACATGAACTTAAATTATGGAGCCAACACCGGTGATGGGACCGATGATGTATAACATATCTTGCAGGTGCTCCAGCAAATTTGATGAAGGTTCATCCTCTGGTTATAGTTCCTTTCTAAAAAATAGTAATTCATTTTAGTTTTTTACAGTTTTATTTTTAATTATCGTTTTACTCTCTAGTAAGAAAGAACTAGTTACTTAAGGGAATGGTAGCATTGCGTGCCACTCTAAGAAAGTGAATGTTACCTCTGTATATGACCATTTGTTATCATCAATTCTTGCATTGATACCGCCCAATGCCTTCTGCTCTTATGTTCTGGTCGGTCTTCTAAATGAGCTTTCGATTGTGAATTTGTAAAACACTTCAAACTTTTTAGAACCCGGAACTGTTTATGTACCTCTGGTACAATTATTTAGAATGTCATTGATTTCGTTTCTTTTTGCTTAAAAAAAATCCAATCAAAGAGATGCCTTTTAAAATGTTTACAGACCACTTCCAAAAAGTCGAGTCAATTTTTTTTTACCTATTTCCATATGGTTATCTCTGAGCTCAAATCTATTACGAACCAACGGAAAATGAAATCGAGAGACCTAATAAGCCATGCTAATTTTATTCTTTAATATATTTAAAACTCTTTTATAATTTTGTAAAGAGTTAGGGTAAGTTAAATTTTCTTTTACAATAAGCATAATCATTTTCTATATACAACTCTAGCTTCTATATTTTAAATAACTTAAAATTAAAACAAATCCAAAAATGTGAAGGTCATAAAAACAACATTTTATAGTAGACACCTAGAGGGAATCAATTTTCAGTTCAACATTCTAACGTTTCGGGAATAAAAAAAAATAATAGCATCGATCATACGAACAAGACATGAGAAGGAACCCTATTATTTAGTAAACATAGATTAAAACAATTAAGAGGCACACAAAGTTTGACAATGGATCAAACTTCATATACTAGAGACTCAAAAGCATTACCAAATTCAACTATTACTTACAAATTTCAAGATTGCCCACAAGGTTTAACAAAGAAAAAGTCTTTTACGCCAACATATAAAACATAAACAAAACAGTAACAGAATAACTAGTAACTATCCCTTAATCCCATCCACTGTCTTCATTGGCGCTTCAAAATTATTCATTCAAACGCCCATTGGTTTTCCCTACGAACTTCTTCTTCTTCCTCAGGGGTGAAGTCATTCTTAATGTTAAAAGTCTTGCGAATTTCCTCAGGAGTCTTCCCCTTTATCATGTCAGCTACAGTCTGGCATGTAAGGTCCAAAAGGTTCTTGATATTCAGGTAATTCGCAGCCTGTAACAAAAAACCAATAAATAACAGAGTACCATAACCAACCAACAAAGTAAATCAAAGATAAAAATATGCAGATACATACAGAAAGACAAAGATCTACAAAGATGAAGAATAAGGAAAAGAAAAACCAGAATTATAGATGTCACAACTTAAATACATAACATAATCATGTGATGATAACGGATCAAATACATCTAATGCACAGTTTTATAAGAGAGTTAACAGAGTTATAATCCTTATTAATACTTATGCCATTATTGTTATTTCCAACAAATTACTTACAATAATTTTTCATTCTATGCAAACATGTGCACATTACTTGTAAGGTTGTGATGTTATGTTAAAAAGACAATAACAATTAAATCATTCATAAACTATTACATCCTTATAAAATGAAAAACAATTTTTAATCCTACAAATAAGGGCTTACTTAAAAATACAAGGTCTATCCAAGACTATTCTTTATCTTAAAAGACTTTGGTTATGACTCCTTCGTTGGAGATGCCTTAGTATATGAAATGAACAAAAGATCCGAAGTCTTCCGACATCACAACTTACAAAATTACAGGGTTTTGAGCTTTACAGGGTAAGATTGCAGCAAACAACAGAACCAAAGTATTCTAAGAAACTGCAAATCCAGTTTAAAACTTGTTTGTATTTATAAGGTTGCACAACATCATCGACATCATCATCTAAATAAAAAAACAACAACAAAAAAAACCCAAATTTGAAATAAACAATTATACAATATGCCAATCCACAATAAATCAATTGAAAAATCCAGAAATCCAAACAAAAATAGAAACTCTCAATAGCAAAAGGCCCTAACCTCCGCACAAAAACAACCATAATAAAATCATAAATGAACGAACCAGAATGAGATCGAAGAGCGTGGCCTGATCAACCTTGACGAAATCAGCATCCCATGCCTTGAGCTCATCCTCAGTAGGCTTTTCATCAGCGCTATTGGCCTCAACGTGTTTCTTGCAGTACTCGATTACCTTTGCAAGGATCTTGCTTGTGACATTGGGAAGAGGAATTCCGCTGTCGGCACAATCATCCTCTATCATATGCTTTATCGTCTGCGACTCCAGAGCCACAATCTCATCCACTTCGAACGCTTCACCGTCCGAACTCTTCAGCGTGATCTTCTTTGTTGATGCCATATACAAATCCCTAACCCTAATCCCTTTTTCTCTCTTTTCCGTGCGATTCTATTTCTAAGGCAAAATGCTATTGGTAAAAACAAACGTGTGGTGTATCGTATATTTATGGCGTTGTTATGTGGGCCCAACCCAAAACGAGCACTTCGTGACAATCATGGCTATATGAAATATTTCATTTTAATAAATTTTATTTTCTTAAATATTTAAAACAATATACGCACCCTTTTACTTCTTTAAATTTTAAATTTAAATAAACTAACTAAATAAAATATACTTTATTTTTTATATATCAGAGTGTGTAATTCCTCCCATTGGATCCATTTATACATCAAAGAAATATTAATTAAATTTAGATTCTAATATTAATTAAATTAATATAATTAAATTAATATAATAAAATTAATGTGGTTTACTATTTCAATTAAAGATAAAATAGTTTATTATTTATATTTAAATGATAATTTATCTTTTAGTAATAATTATATATATAATTGTATAAATAACATAACACCATTGTTTTATGATTTTATGATATATTAAAGTAATTGTTTTATTTAAGAACGTTAAATTGTGGTTTTAATATAGTTTGAGTTAATTATAATAATATTATATATAGTCTATAATATAAATTCACACACATAGTGATAATATATAGTGATAATATATAAATAAATAATTGTACTCGGATTTGTCGTGATATTTAAATATTATTGTAAATAATAATAATAAAATATATTTTTTAAAATAAATATGTTAGTTGTGAGTTATATATATATATATATATATATATATATATATATATAATTGTAGTTTTTATTATTTTATTATAGAATTATTATAATTTATAAAAGTTAGTATGTATGGATGGAAATTTAATTATAAGATTTTGGATAATTTAATTAGAAAAAGGATATTATTAGATATTATTTGTTAGATATTCTAAAAATATTATTTGATATTGTTATATGCTAGATATATTTATAAACTAAAAGATATCTTAATATATTATTATATGTAATTAGATATTATTGTTAGATAATAATAATAATAATAATAATAATAATAATAATAATAATAATAATAAGATATTATTGGTTGACTTATCAAAATAAATTATAATAAAAATATTAAGATAAAATATATTATTTTTGAACTTATCAAATCAATTAAAACAAAGATAGTTTTATTTGATTATATTTTGAAAATGATAGTTTTTTTATAAAGATTTAGAAAATAAACGAAATAGAGATATGTATGTTAGCATTAAAAACCTTAGTCATCAGAAAAAAGTGACATAAAATCTTATAATAGTCGAGAGAGAAGTTTGAGAGAAAAATATTATTTTTCTACCAAAAGAAAAGCCTAAGAGTTTTAGGAAGACTTAGAAGATCTAAAAGTTTTTGTTGAATTAGAGTTAAGAGGGTTGACTTTGCTTGTTTTGGGTTTGTATATTCATTATTTTAGTTTCTTTTTGGAATGATGAGCTTGTAAAAGAAGCTAACCTTGTTGATTGTTTGGTATAATTATGTATGTTTTATTCAATCTGTGATGTCGAATGGTCCAATTGTTGGATGTATAGTGTGTGGTAACCACCTTGGTTTCTTCTATGAATGTAACATGAAGTAGAATAATTCAACTAATATGTTTTTCATATTTTTATATAATATTATTGCTATAATCGCGTTTCAGTATAGATTGGATGGGTTGATTATTTCTTAGAATTACTAGGCTTTACCATGCTTGTAAATTGAATGGGTTGGTTATTTCTTAGATTGAAATCCTTTAAACAAAATTGAAAAAAAAATTCACAAACTTATATACATTTGTTCACCTAGCTACCATTAACAATTTAAACACCGTTAAAAAAAAATACCAAATTAAATAAAATTAATAAAATTAAAATTTGATTGAAGATGTGAAAAAAAAACACATTGGAAAAACTTGATAAAAATAGAAATCAAATTAATATTTAATATATGATTTAAAACATCAAAGTCAATATTCATCTGACTATTTTGGAAACAGTACATAAAAAACACAGAAAAAAACACGCAAAGTCGATTTCAAATTCGGTTCCTTCCTTATAAATGAATTGAATCAGTAAAATACGAAAAAGTTATCAAATATAATAATAAAATATACCGAACAATAATAAGTTCACGAAATAATAATAGTAGTAATAATTAAGTGATAAAATGAGCAATTAAGTCTATTTTAAACTCTATTCAACCGTTAAAAAAATTTATCATTTACCATCAGCTAAACTTAAGGATATTTTATTTCTTTCTTTTGGGTACATAAAACAGAAAACTTCTTTACATAGACCCTGACTTCTTGAGACAATCCTAATAACAAAAAAATTTCTATGTTATTCTCATGTTGTTGCTTAAGATTCCATGTATTGTGAGGGTGGAGGCCTTGTGTCAGTCTTCTCAGGACCTGCAAAATGGTTTACCAACAACATTTTACAAACAGTTTCAGCACGAAACTAGTGCTACACATTGTCACAGTTAAATAGAAATTATAATACTAACTTGGATCCAATCAGGATCGGCTCAAGACCTAAACAGATAAAAGTTCTTGTTTTAGATCTAAAAAAAAAGTTTCAATTTTTTTTTAGTATTAATTGCTTTTAAGTCTCAAATTTTTTTCAATACTAATTGCTTGAGACTTTGAAAAAAAAAAAATCAAAAAATGTCTGAATTTTAAGTTTGTTTGAGGTTTTTAGATTAAAGGAAAGACAATTTCAATTCCTTCAGTGTTGAAAGAGCTGCATGGAGTCATACCAGAAGCCCCGCGGATCTCAACTTCTCTCCATTCTTGCAC